AAAGATACGTTTCCCCAATAAATGGAGGCGTGAGGGGGGTCGTGGGTCGTTTCTGAGGAGCCTCAGAGGCCACAGGAACCGTTAGCCCGGCCTGCCCCTCTGCGGGTCCGCGGCTGGCTCAGGTGCCCGGCGCACCTGCGGGCCACGACCCCACACGCGCGCGGGCTCCGGGCTCCCCTCAGCAGCGCCCCACGCCCAGGGACCCAGTCCCCCAGGCGGGGTCAACTCGAGTGGCCTGGGCGAGTTCCCGCAGGTGGGAGCCATCCCCTAGCTGACTTCCGGGGAGCCCGCCAGGCGGTGGAAGATTCTCCACGCCGGCTGGCGCGCCCTCACTGCGCTCCCCGACCCGCCGCGTCCCTAGGCGGCCCGGATGCTGCGGCGGCGCCGGACGCCGGCACGGGCGGAGCCCGGGGGAGCCAGCAGCCCGGCCAGAGCCCGGGGAAAGGCGCAGCTGCGCGCTGCTCTCCTCTGACGTGGGGCCCGCACGCTGCCCGCCGCGCTCGGGTGCCCTCGCCGCCCAGCCCGGCGCGCGCAGACCTTAGGACCGCGAGGAAGCCCCGAAGCGGGAGGTGGCCTGGCGGCAGTTGGGCGTGGCCTCTCCGCGAGGGGCGGCCCCGGGGGCGGGGAGGGCTACGTCACCGTCGGCTTCGGGCGCTGATTGGCTGCGCTGCGGTGCGCGGAACCGCAAGCCTCCCGGCCCGCTCGGCCCGCTCGGCCCTCAGCAGCTCGCGAGGGGAACCGCTGAGGCGCCGCCACCGCCCCAGCCCAGGCCGGACCACGGCGTGAGGGAGGCGGCGAGAGCACCCGCTCGGCCGCTCGCTGCCACCCGCCCGCTCCGGCGCTCCGGGGCGGGGAGGAGCCGCCGCCGGCACGCCCCGCCTCCGGCCCGGGACGACGACGACGCCCGCGACCCCGCCGGCCGAGCCGCCGCCCCCTCGCCGGCCGAGCCCCGGCCCTCCCCCGGCGGCATGGAGGGGCCTCGCTCCTGACGGCCGCCGCCCCGCCCGCCCGCCGCCGCCGCCCCCGCTCGCATGTCCGCGCCGCCCTAGCCGAGGATGCTGAGGATGAAGCTGCCGCCGAAGCCGACGCACCCCGCGGAGCCGCCGCCCGAGGCGGACGAGCCTGAGGCGGACGCGCGGCCGGGAGCCAAGGCACCGGCGCGCCGCCGCCGCGACTGCCGGCCTCCGGCTCCTCCCGCGGGCCCGCCGCGGGGCCCCCCGCCGCCGCCGCCGCCGCCTCCGCCGTCTCCGCCGCCGCCGCCCCGGGGGCTCGGGCCGCCTGTTGCTGGCGGCGCGGCGGCGGGGCCGGGCATGCCGGGCGGCGGCGGGGGGCCCGCGGCGGCGCTGCGCGAGCAGGAGCGGGTGTACGAGTGGTTCGGGCTGGTGCTGGGCTCGGCGCAGCGCCTCGAGTTCATGTGCGGGCTGCTGGACCTGTGCAACCCGCTGGAGCTGCGCTTCCTGGGCTCGTGCCTCGAGGACCTGGCGCGCAAGGACTACCACTACCTGCGCGACTCGGAGGCCAAGGCCAACGGCCTCTCGGACCCGGGCCCGCTCGCCGACTTCCGAGAGCCCGCCGTGCGCTCGCGCCTCATCGTCTACCTGGCGCTGCTGGGCTCGGAGAACCGCGAGGCGGCCGGCCGCCTGCACCGCCTGCTGCCCCGGGTGGACGCGGTGCTCCGGAGCCTGCGCGCGGCCCGGGCCGGCGCGGACGGCGACGCCGAGCAGGACGGCTCGGGCCCGGAGGGCGGCGGCGCCGAGTCCCGGGCGGCCGGCGGGCTGGGCTCCAGGGCGCAGGAGGAACTGCTGCTGCTCTTCACCATGGCCTCGCTGCACCCGGCCTTCTCCTTCCACCAGCGGGTCACGCTGCGGGAGCACCTGGAGACGCTGCGCTCGGCGCTGCGCGGCGGCCCCGGCGAGGCGGAGCCGGCCGGCCCCAGGCCCCAGGTAACGCGCCGGGCCCGCGCTCGAGCCCCGGCCGGGCCGCGCGGAGCGCTCTGCAAGGGTCTGGGGCCGGGGTGGAAGCAGGAGGAGCGGGGTGCGTGGGGCGGGCGGCCTGGCGGTGTGGCCGTGCCCTCTTCCCCGGGGTGCCCGCCGACAGGTGGGAGGGGAGACGCCCGGCTGGCCGCTGGCACGGGACGGGACCGTCGTGGGGGGGGACGGGGTCCCCGTGGGGGGACGAGATCCACGTGGGGGGACGAGATCTACGTGGGGGGACGAGATCTACGTGGGGGGACGAGATCTACGTGGGGGGGACGGGATCCCCGTGGGGGGACGAGATCTACGTGGGGGGATGAGATCTACGTGGGGGGACGAGATCTACGTGGGGGGACGAGATCTACGTGGGGGGGACGGGATCCCCGTGGGGGGACGAGATCTACGTGGGGGGATGAGATCTACGTGGGGGGACGAGATCTACGTGGGGGGACGAGATCTACGTGGGGGGGACGGGATCCCCGTGGGGGGACGAGATCTACGTGGGGGGATGAGATCTACGTGGGGGGACGAGATCTACGTGGGGGGGACGGGATCCCCGTGGGGAAGACGGGATCTACGTGTGGGGGGACGGGATCCCCATGAGGGGACGAGATCTACGTGGTGAGGACGAGATCTACGTGGGGGGACGGGATCCCCGTGGGGGGACGAGATCTACGTGGGGGGGACGGGATCCACGTGGGGGGGGACGAGATCCACGTGGGGGGACGAGATCTACGTGGGGGGACGAGATCTACGTGGGGGGGACGGGATCCCCGTGGGGGGACGAGATCTACGTGGGGGGGACGAGACCTACGTGGGGGGACGGGATCCCCGTGGGGGGGGACGAGATCCACGTGGGGGGACGAGATCCTCGTGGGGGGACAGGATCCCCGTGGGGAGGACGAGATCCTCGTGGGGAAGACGGGATCTACGTGTGGGGGGACGGGATCCCCGTGAGGGGACGAGAGCTACGTGGGGGGGACGAGATCTACGTGGGGGGACGGGATCTACGTGGGGGGACGAGATCCCCGTGGGGGGACGGGATCTACGTGGGGAGGACGGGATCCCCGTGGGGGGTACGAGATCCACGTGGGGGGGGCAGGATCCCCGTGGGGGGACGGGATCCCCGTGGGGGAACCGGCTCGTGCCCTCAGCTGAGGGGAGCCCCGGGGTGGCTGTCCACCCGCAAAGCTCACAGCCTGGAGCCAAAGCCGAGCTGGTGATGGCGTGGATGCGGCTGGTGGCATCAGGGTGTCTGGGGGCTGGAAAGGAGCAGCTCCTCCAGGGCGAGTCCCCGCTCTCCGTGCTCCTGCCTTGGGCTGCGTGTCCTCCCGCTGCGCTGTAGCATGCCAGCGTGTGTGGTGACGCTTGTGCCCTTTCCGCCCCTCAGCCTACTCGCTAAAACATCCCTGCAACTATTTCTGTCGCACGGCCATCTCGCCAAGAAAAGGCGTGAATGCGGAAACGTCTCAAACTCGGTCTCTAGTGCTGCTGTCCCGCGCGGAGCCCCGCACGCAGTCTGCCCTGCCCCAGACGTGTGCGGTTAACGCAGTGCCCCGAGGCAGCTAGGGGAGGAGGAGGCGGGTTTCCTCCCGACCGCAGTGCGTGGCCTCTTGTGGCATCCTGGGCGGGTGGGCCGGGCCAGGGGGGCTTCTCCGGCAGCGCCCCGCGCTCGGGCCCGCGGTCGTAGGGGTCGCCCTCTGCGGAGGAGCCCTCGGGCTGCAGCTGGGCTCTGGGGTCAGCGACCCTGCAGCGGGCGGGGGGGCTCTGCCTTGGGTGGTGGCCCCCGAGGGTGCCCCAGCTGAAGGCGTTTTGGCGGACCTCGCTCAGGCTCAGCCTGTCAGTCCAGAGCCTGCCGATTGGCCGCAGCCCGGCCCGCTGCCCGTGCCCACCTGTGCGCCTGCAGGGAGGAGTCCTCGCTGCCCCGCGTGACCGCGAGCCCGGCCCGCCGCGCTTCCTCCCCCGCCCTGCAAGATGGCGGCCGCGGCGCCGCCCACGTGACCGGGGGCTGTGCTCAGCGGGGAGGCCGGTGCGGCCGCGTGGGGACCTGAGCCCGCGTGGAGGGCCGCGGGGCGGTGACAGTGAGCCCGCGAGTGGGAAAATGCGGGTGGCAGCGTCTTTTCCCGGAAGTAACCTTTCAGGCAGAAGTATGCAGCTTGTATTAATAGTTCAGGAGTCATTCATTTTCTTACTGCCGGCGAAGCTCTTGGGCGCTCCAAGTCCTGCATCCCCACCAAGTGCACCGTGTGAAACCAATTTCGTTTCTTTGTGGGGAGGGGGCGGGAAGTATGTTGGCGGGGCAGTTCAAAGCCCTTGAGGAGGGGCATCCGTGTTTAGTAGAGCTCTAGGCTGCCAGGTGTAAAATTCCCACTCCCCCACTAATTATGATGCTAACCTGACCGCCTAAGCCTCAGTCTTTCCTCCTGAGGTTGTAGTGGTTGGTGAGTTAGATATGAAGCAAAATAACGCGCATCCTGCCTTGAAGATGAATTCTCTCTTGGTAAGTGTTCAGGGCAAGTTTCTTATCCATCAGTCAGCAGCTTGTTTTTAGGAATGTCCCCCCGCTTAGCAGTACTCAGTATCATTGTTACCATCCCTCTAAACAGACGGGTGACTGGAAAGGGAGTGTTTGAGACACGGTTAGTTGGGGCCTTTAGTTTTGTTGGTCTTTATATAATAAACCGAGAGGAAGCAGTGCTCTGGGTCTGTAATCAAGACATATTCTCCCTGTGATGGATTTGGGGGTGCGAATGGAGAAAGTTGATATTTTAATGTGGATTATCATTAATTTGCATGCCACTGTAATCTTCTTAAATCTTTATTTAATTTTCACATTTTGTTAGAAAGCTGTTCTATAGTTCAAAGTTATTCTACAGTTTTGCTGAGGTACTTATTTTGAGTATACACTGAAATCTATGGAACATTAAGGGAACATTTTAATGTCATTTTTTACAGATATTGCTAAATTGGCCACTTTTTTAGCTTATTTAGTATTTTTGTCTTTCCTTGATAAAGAATTTGTGTATTTTTTTCTTCCTACAAGAGAGAAGCGCCTTCAGTACTTTCAAAGTAGACAACCTCAAATTTATGGACTGTTTTCATCGTGGAGGATTGTATGTAGCAACACTTTATGGCTTCCCTCCCCGCCCCCCGCATATACATGGCTAGCTGAGTCAGAAGGTCCTTTGGGGTGTTGAGTTGCAGGTGGGGAGGCAGACCCAGTCCCTTTCCTGGGGTTTTCCTGGGCTCCAGGCTGCATGTGACCCTTACTGCCCTACACAAGTGTCATGCGCTGTGTCAGTTTACTGTGTTTGAAGTGAGATTTAGGCTTTGCAAAGGTCCGTGGCAAGTCCAAGACTACAGAGTGCCCAGGATCCATCAGCGAGGTTATCTGTGCTGAAGGTGAATCTGATCATGTTTGTGAAGACACGAGTAAACAGGAGGGAGATGTGGGTGCTGTTGACTGAGTCAGTGGCATGATTTGGGTGCAGTGGAGGAACAGAACTGTGGGCCCAGATGACAGTGGGCTTGGAGCGCACGAGCAGAGAACTGGGTGTCAACAGGTTGTGTGAGAGCCGTGAGTGCCTCTGAAGGTAGCCTATGTAAAACACCATCCTTGATTTAAAAGGTCTTCCAGGCCTGTCCGTTTATCTCTGTGGTGCCCTCCCACAGGTGGTCACCCCGACTTGCTTAGTGACCTTGATCTTTACACTGCCCACCTCATATTTGAATCTGCACTGTCTTCATCTTTACCGGCAGTAGTTGTGAGAGGCTTTTTGTCTAATGACAGCCTCTTTATCGTTCCCCTGCATTCAGTTTTTGTACCTCTTGCGGGGGGGGGGGGGGTGTCCTGGCACCAGATAGTCTTTCTGAAGCCGTATATTGAGTTGTATTGCATTGTTCTTTCAGTGCCTGTTGGGTGACCTCTGATAGGTCTTAGGCTCCAGATCCTCTGTGCTGTGGGTCTCACGTGAGGCTGGGTTCTTTCTGTCATGTCTTGCACCATGTTCTCTGTGGCAATCAGGTAAAATTCCTTGCTGCCTCTTAACTTCAGTAACACACGTGTTCTGGTTACTTCTGTGATTCTTTGTATTAAGTTTATTGTGTAAGATTGGCCCGGCCTCAGGCATCATTTGGCATTGAACTTGGGCTTTTCAAATGTAGCTCCAAAAGAAAGTATCAACGTAAGTGTTGTTTTAACAAGTGTGTCATGCAGTTATATCTCTCTCTTGTCTCATTTTAAACTATATCTACCAAGTATTTTACAAAAATATTTGTAGCTCAATTGTTCTAGAAATAATGAAAGGAATTACTTTCTTATACAGTATGAACTTACACATTTAAACTGAATCATCAGTGTCTTTCAGTGTCAAACCATTTGCAGTGTCTCAAACTGCTGAATTGGTGCAGACCTGGTAGTTTTTTTTGACAAGGATGGATAGGTTGTAAATCACTGTTTTCTCTTTGGACAGTTGGCTGTCATAGCCTCAGTTTACCATGTGTTTGGGGGTGGGGTGGTGGGAGTTAGATTTGGATAGTACCCTGCCCATGATTAGAAAGTAAAAAACTTACTTAGGTTACTGAAGTGAGCAGTTGGTAATGAAAATGCTGTGAAATTTTTATGTTTCTTGTCAGTAGGTCTGGATTGGGATCTTTTCTTGCAGTAGAGTTGATTTTTGTTTTGTATATGAGGTAGTTGAAATTCACTAGCGAGCCTAGGGAGAAGGTCAGCTGTGGTGTTTGAGAGTACTTAAAAAGAGGTCTTCAGGAAGAGGTTGTGTTATGGTGTCGAGTTTCTTGATCTGGGAAGAATGTCTGTTCTAACAGGTGGTGTTATTCCTGATGCGGTGTTTCCCTATTACACTTGCGATCTTATGAATCGTTTAATTGCCAGAGATCTTTCTTGAACCCTCAGCTCACGTTCCTTCATGTATTCAGGAATGCTTTGCCCTAGGAGCAAAGCCTGACTGCCTGGGCTCACTTCCTTCCTGGGGCATCCAGGGACACCTTGCACTCTTCTCAAAGGGCGAGGCTGTAGAGATGAAGACAGCTCAAGGCAGAGGTAAGCTGCAGAGGGGAAAGGCCTGCTTACCTCTAGCTTCCCACACTGATGCTTTAGTGTGTGTGTCTCACCTTTGAAAATACTCTGTTGAAGGGATTTAATGGCTTGTGGAGGCTGCTGGAGTGGGATGTGGCAGTTCCTGGTCCAGTCTACCCGTTGCCAGGGTGAAAGAGGAGATCTTTTTCTTTTTGTAGTGAGAGCAGGAAGGGACACGATGCTGCTGCCCACTACAGCTCGCAGCAGTGCTTCCTGGGCGGCCATTCCTCTGTCCCTAGCTGGATTCCTATGCCTTTATTCTCTGATCCAGTGCTGAAGTTGGTGCTACTCTCTGGTCTGCTTGTCAGCTAACAGGTGGCATGGTTTGAATTGAAATGGCAGAAGCATAAATGGAGCTGTACTAGGAAAACATCAAGACCGGTTCTTGAGCAGAAACTGCTGCCTTTGCCTCTCTTTCATCCTCTGCTTTGCTCCTCTCCTGTTGTATCAGACTGTTCTTCAGCATTCTTTTGCCCCATTTTCCTGAATGTGCAACCTACAAGTTAAGTTCTCTAAAAAATGACAATAATGTTAGCAATTTAAATTTCCCACTTTGAGTTCCCCCAAAAAATACATGAAAGATAATGAAGACTCCCTTCCCAGCTTGTGCCACTCACTCTGCCTTCTCATATAGTGCAACCCTCCCACTGCACAGGCAGGCAGTGTTGGTTCACAGACATGAACTTCCATGGCTGTTGGTGGTGGCCAGGTTTGAATTGTAGGCTGTGAGAGCAAAAGGTGTACGTGGATTCAGCCACTTGTAACTCTACTGAGTCCCTCGTTACTCCATGGCTGGTGTACATTGTTCAGGGCTAAGATGGCTAATTTTGTACCTGTGCTGCAGAATCATCTCCTGCCCTGGTGTCTACTTCCACTAGACAGGAGGTAAGCTCTTGTATCACAGGAATGTGTCGAAGTCGCCAGGGGGCCGTTTCTGAGCTGGTGATTGAGAGGTCTTGCCCCACTCAGAGTTCTTTAGCCCTGTGGTTGTTGGAGCACAGCTGTGCTATTTGACCCCAGAGCCATGCCTTTTGTCAGCTTAAATGACTCTTCCTTTGGGTTGAGTTTGGCATTTTATTGAGTAGCAAAACTTGTACCTCTTTTGCATCTTCAGTTAGAGACAGGTGGTAAATAATCCTTAAATTCTCCCTGGCTCCCTCCCTCTTCTTCCACAGAAATGGAACAAATCTGACAGCTCAGTGATGTTCCTAAAAATGAATCATTTTGTAACAAAGTAAGACTTTCTATGAATCTTAAACAATAGCATATGTTTTGGTTATGACTTTGGTTATTTAAATGAAAGTATTTAAAATATATGGCTATAATAAATGACCCCAAAATTTAATGACTTAAAGCATAAGTATTGGAGCAAGCATTGTGACACAGTTGGTCAAGCCCTTACTTTAGAGTGCTTGGGATCCAGTCCGCAGTCCGCTCCCATCCAGCTTCCTGCTCATGTGTATGCTGGGAGGTGGCAGGTGATAGCTAAAGTGCTTGGTTCTCTGCCACTACTGTGGAAGGTCCAGATGGAGTTCTGGGCTCCTGGCTTTAGCCCAGACACAGCTGTTACAGGTATCTGGGCAGTGAACCAGCAGGTGGAGGAGTTCTCTTTCTCTCTGTCCCTCTGCTTTTCAAATAAGCAGAAAGATTAATAATTTATTATTTTTTGGGGGGGGGGGATATTTTATTTACGAAAAATCAGTTTGTTGGGCCCGGCACGATAACCTAGTGGCTAAATCTTCACCTTGCTTGCGCCGGGATCCCATATGGGTGCTGGCTCGTGTCCTGGCTCCTCCACTTCTCATGCAGCTCCCTGCTTGTGGCCTGGGAAAGCAGTCAAGGACAGCCCAAAGCCTTGGGCCCCTGCACCTGCGTGAGAAAACTGAAAGATCTGGCTTCAGAGCAGATGGGAAGATCTGTTTATCTCTCATTCTTTTTGTGAATCTGACTTTGCAATGAAAATAAGTACATCTTTTAAAAATTGTTAATTTGGTTTTCTTTTACTTCTGCTTTGGTTTCTTTTTTTAATTTAATAAGTTTATTTTTGGTGTTGATGTAGTTGAGATGGGTGTGTGCCCATGTGTACCACTAATTAGTTTGGGAAGGGTTGAGGAATGGGGAAAAGTAGATAAGTTGATTGCTTTCAATTGTTCCTGTTTCTGGGGAAAGGGAGAAGAGAAGGGGAGGCAGAGAGAGGCTCGTTTCCAACAGCCTAGCATCAGTACCTGGGGATGGGGAGGGCCACTTGATGTCATGGTAGGGTCTCCAATATGGAGTGTGCTTCGAGGGTACTGCTTAAGTGGTTTTGATAGTTTTGAGATGCTGTTGCTCCAAGATCCATTGGCTGGCATAGTCTACGCTAGTCTCCACTCACCCAGATACTTGCTGTCAGAGCTTGGCGGGGACAGTTGTCCAATTTGTTTTGTCTTCCATCCTCTGCCATGGCACTAGACGTGCTCTGCAGGCTCAGTGAGCTGTCATGTCCCCATGTGCACTTGTGCTTGCTGTCCACTGCACAGGCTTTGGCAATCAAGGTGGTCCAGTTCTCTCTCACGGACTCTACGGTCAGACCACAGATCCTGTGATTTTCTTTATCGCTGGAGTTTTTATTACCATTTCTCACAGTTCTATGGGGGTGGCAATTTAGATTGGAGAAGCGCTTGTGTCTAGAAATGGAATTGAGCCTGGATTGTGTGTCTTGCCCCCTCTCTTCTTTCACCCAAAAGCTCAGGTGTCCCAAGACGTGTGAGCACCTCAGCTCAGCTAAACCTTGCTGCCACCACAGCCTGTTAATCACACAAGCCTAACCCAGCCAGAGCTACTGGGCCGGGAATTAGCTCCCGTCTTTCAGTGGGAGGCTGCTCAAAGAATTGTTGGTTATCTTTTTATCTTCCATAAAAACTTAATAGAACATTGTCACATGCTAATGTTAACACTTTTTAAAAAAGATTTTTTATCTAAAAGACAACAGAGAAGAGAGGTGAGATTGAGATCTTCTTTCTGCTGGTTAACTCCCCAAGTGGCTGTCATGACCAAGGCCAAGGCCTGTCCTGCTTACAGTTATAGGCTTGAAACTCCATCAGGGGTCTCCCAAGTGGGGGCAGAGATCCAAGCGCTTAGGCTGTTCTCCACTGCTTTTCCAGGTACAGCTGGATTGGAAATGGAACAGCCGGGACAGGTGGCTGCTTAACTACCTGTGCACAGCAGGTGGTAATGTTAACTTTCTAAGTCTCATTTGCTGAGTGAAAAAATTTCAGGAGATAGCAAAGTTAAGTTAGTGAGGTTTTTTTCTTCTTTTTTTTGGTAAGATTTATTTTATTGGAAAATCAGATTTATAGAGAGAAGGAGAGACAGATCTTCCATCCACTGGTTCATTCCCCAAGATAGCAGCGGCTGGAGCTGAGCTGATCCAGCCAGGAACCAGGAGCTTCTTCCAGGTCTCCCATGCGGGTGCAGGGCCCCAAGGCTTTGGGCCATCTTCTGCTGCTTTTCTAAGCCATAAGTAGGGAGCTGGGAGCTAAGTGGAGCTGCCAAGACGTGAACCAGCTCCCATACGAGATCCTGGTGCATGCAAGGCAAAGGACTTTAGCCACTAGGTTACTGTTCCTGATCTTTTTTTTTTCTTTTTCTTTAACAGCTAAGAAAAATTGTACTTTCTGCTTTGTTTCTGTGTTTGACATGTCTTAGTATTTAAAAATCCATCAGAGTACTAAAGAAAACATGTAGAGTATTAAACAGGAGAACTAAAATCATTTTTGGCTGCAGTTTGACTTTTGCTAATAAAATGAAGCAAGTGAGCTTTAGTCTATGGTCTTATTTTCAGAGAACAGTTGTTTTGGTTTTCTTTTTGGGACTATCCAGACAGACTTAAAAATCTTGAGTGTATAACTGATGGATATGCCTATCTAGAAGTTAGATCTGAGTGGTCTAGTGACCCCACCCAGAGTCATATGGCATGTGGGTCATGGGTACCAACCAGGACTGCTCAGAAGGAGACTTGCCACAGGGCAGGAACGGCCACCCTTGGGCAGAGGAGGGAGAACACCGGTGCTGCTAGGGGCTTGGTGTGATAATGCATGCTTTTGCAGACTTAGAATTACTGCTTTTTAAAAGATTCATTTACTTTTATTTTGAAAGGCAGATTTTTATGTAGGAGAGAGAGATCTTCCATCTGCTGGTTCACTTCCCAAATGGCTGCAACAGCCAGAGTTAGGCTGCTTTTGGAGCCAGGAGCTTCTTCCAGGTCTCCATGTGTGTAGTGGGCCAGGGGCTTAGGCCAGCTTCTGCTGCTTTCTTGGGTCTTAAGCAGGGCGCCGGATCAGAGGTGGAGGGATTAGGACACAAACTGATGCAGTGGGCAGATGATTAACCTGTTAATTTACTGTGCTGGCACTGCGGACTTAGAATTTTAAAACTCTCACATCTTAATCTAAGCATAGCAAAATTCTTTGGTTCTGGACATGGATCTGGTCTTCATGAAATGTGTTATCCTTACTGAATGTCTGGGAGACTTGGAGCTTGCTAGACGAAGTGACTGTGATTCCTCTCCATCCAGTTAATAGCCCTTCCCTTATTGAAAGATGAAGTGTGTTTGGCAAGTGACAACCAGTGGCTTCTGGGTCCAGTGAACTGTGTAGTCATGATGTCTATGTTTGGGAGGCCAGGTATGTGTGGATTTTAGAGTTTGTAAACGAGCCTAAACGGATTTGCAGTGTTGATTCATGCTGAGAATGGAAGGAAAACAAGTTAGTTCTGTGGGTTGGTGAACTGAATTCCCTGGGTGGAATATGAAACACTCTTCCTAGATTATTAAACAGGAAGCCTTTTGTTAGTTGCTATATTCTTAATGTTTCTTTGAATTCTGAAAATATGATTTTTATTGCAACAAATTTTTTCATGATTGTGTCAATCTCATGTCTGTGGAGGCAGAATACTTTTTTTGGAGATTTATTTATTTTTATTGCAAAGTCAGAAATATATAGAGAGGAGGAGAGATAGAAAAGATTTTCCGTGTGATGATTCACTCCCCAAGTGAGTGCAATGGCGAGTTGTGCTGATCTGAAGCCAGGAGCCAGAAGCCAGAAACTTCTTTCCGGGTTTCCCATGCGGGTGCAGGGTCCCAATATTATGGGCCGTCTTCGACTATTTTCCCAGGCGACAAGCAGGGAACTGGATGGGAAGTGGGGTTGCTGGGATTAGACCTGGTGCCCATATGGGATCCCAGTGCATGGAAGGCGAGGACTTTAGCTGCTAGGCCGCTGCACTAGGCCCTAGATGACTTTTTTTTTAATTGTGTAAAATAGGTAAAGGAACTTGAAGTTTTTGAGAGTAGAATCAGATGCTTATTTCGATACAGAGTTTTGAAATACATGCATAATTTTTTCATAATTGCGTTTTTCCGTGATTTTTTTGAGGACTCCTTACATAAGTGAAGCTCTAAATATTTTTGCACTGAGAGACTTAGCCTGTTCCTCCATTTTTCCATAAACTTTTTTTTTTTTTTGCAGATAACAAAGCTTGCCATTTTCTCCTTTTGAGTGTATGATTCAGTGGTGTTATAGGTTCACACTCACTGTCATGCAGCAGCATCCTGTTTGTGCTCAGAGCTTTTTTATCATCCCAAATAGAAACTCTGTATCCACTAAGTAAAGCCTCCCCTTTTGCCTCTCCCCACAGCCCATTTTGCATGCTGCTCTTTCTTTGTGGTTTCTTTGGTTAAGCAGCTCATGAAAGTTGAATTGTACAGGACTTCTTTTTTGTATCTGGCTTTCTTCATTTTAGCACACTGTCCATCAGGATTTATTCATGTCATAGCAAGTGTCAGAATCCCATTCATTTTAAAAGCGTAATGCAGTCATTATATATGCATATGTATGCACACATACATTTTCATGTATATATCACAGTTATTGATTTGTTGATGGACAGTGGAGATGTTTCCACAGTGTGATGACCGTTGTAAATAATCCTTCTATTGAACATGTTTATACAAATTATGTTCTAGTCCCTGTTTTCAGTTCTGTGGAATATATGCCTAGAAGTAGAATTGCTGGAGCATATGGTAGTTGTGTTTAATTTTTTAGGAACTATCAAACCTCCCCCTTTTTACATCCTCATGGTCCGTGCACAAAGGCTGTAGTATCTGGCGTCTTTACTGGCATTTAACTCTCAGCTTTTTTTTTTAATTATTACCATTGTAATGGGCATAAAATAACATCTAATTATAGTTCTGATTTGCATTTCCCTCTTGAAACTATTGTTATAAAAAGTTATGTTCTGGATATACATGATTGCATTGTTTTTATTTTTATTTGAAAGGCATTTGTATAGGGAGGAGGAAAAAAAGAGCGATCTTCCTTCTGCCGTTCACTCCCCAAATGACTGCAACAGCCAGAGCTGAGATGATTTGAGGCCAAGAGCTTCATCTGGGTCTCCTACAAGGATACAGGAGCCTAATGACCTGGGCCATTCTCTGTGGCTTTCCCAAGCTGAAAACAGGGAGCTGGATGGGAAGTGTAGCAGCTGGGACGCCAACTGGTTCCCAAATGGAACACTGGTGCCACAGTTGAAGATCAGCTTGCTGTGCCTCTGAGCTAGCCCCGATTTTCTTTTTTTGTTTTAAATTTATGTCAATGATTTTTAAAAAGTAGCACTGTGATAATAGGGAATGGCTGTCAGGCTAAATGTCTGGGCAGGTGTCTGGGCTCTACAGGTCTGCTCTCCTGCTTGGGCAGTGCTGCTTTGTGGATGGCAGCTGCAGGACTATCCCTATCTTTGCGGTTGCAGTTGAGAGGCCCACGGGAGCCGTGTTGGTAGCTGGCACCCCTACCCAGTGCAGGCCAGGCTGCGCGATAGACTGTAGGACAAGAGGTTTTGTGTTGAGATTCTTGAGCAAGTGTTGGGACCTTTTTTCACTTCATTTCTTTATATAGTTAGAAAAAAGATCAACGTATTTGTTTTTAAACTGCAGGTTTGTAAAGTTGTGTAATTGGTTCTTAACTTGAATTTGGATAAGCTGTGTTCTTCGAGACTACATGAAGAGAAATAAGGCCTGAGTTGTAGATGGCTGCTTGAATTTTTTTTTTTTTTCTTTACCTAGTATATTGTAATAGTAATAGGCTCGTGGTGGTGCTTGAGTTCTGGAGAGCTCTGTATACATTTGCCATGCTTTTTGTTGCTCCCAGGCCAAATCTCTTAGGAGGAAACTTAATCCACTTCACTAATGCTTGAGCAAACTCAGAGTTAGATCATTCAGCTGCTATTAGATGACTTTTTTTTTTTTAAAGATTTATTTTATTGCAAAGTCAGAAATATATAGAGAGGAGGAGAAACAGAGGGGAAGATCTTCTGTCCAATGATTCAGTCCCCAGATGGCTAGTACTGAGCTGATCTGTAGCCAGGAGCCAGAAACTTCTTCTGGGTCTCCCACGCGGGTGCAGGGTCCCAAGGCTTTGGGCTGTCCTCGACTGCCTTCCCAGGCGACAAGCAGGGAGCTGGATGAGAAGCGGGGCTGCTGGGATTAGAATTGACACCCATATGGGATCCCAGTGCATTCAAGGCGAGGTCTTTAGCTGCTAGGCCACCATGCCGGGCCCTAGAAAGTAGGCCCTTCAATGATAAATTCATTGTCCCATACATATTGTTGAGAGAGATTTGACCTGTGTGGATGATGCCTTTTATGAAACTTGTCGTATCAGAGATTTTGTTAAACTGTCAGATCAAGCAATGAATAAGAATTGTGTAATGATTAGTGCACAAAGTGCATACATTACCCTTACAAAGGAGGGGTCAGTGTCGGGGGGGATATCTGTCACATGCTTTCCGTGGGTTCTGGTTCGCAGTGGAGAGCATTGACATAACTGGCAACTCTGGATTTCACTCTAACGTAATTTTGCTTGTTTTCTTTAGCGTTATGCAGTTTTTTTTTTTTAAACATCCCAGGATAGCTGGTGTAGTAAAAACAATTCACGAAATACTGTTGCCAGTTTCAGAGTATCACTGATATTCCTCCTCTTGTATTGACAGTCCTTGTGTGTTAGCCTGAGTCACCTGTTTGATCTCTCAAAACGGCTGTTAACCTGATTATTGAAAGCATTAAACTTAGGGTTTAATTTTTCTACCTTAGGTCTCTGGTGTGGATTAAAATGTCCCCCTCTTTCTTGTCTAGAACGACTCTGCTCATGGTGATTACATGCAAAGTAATGAGACCAATTTACTAGAACAAGCCCCAGTACCTCAGGATGGACTTACCATGGCGCCTCACAGAGCACAGCGAGAAGGTATGCTGTAGCTTTTGCAAACGTGAAGCTTCACCCACCGTGTGAAGACTGCAGGGGACTGTTCATACTGGTTTGCTCTGAACTCTTCATCTCTTTTTGGAGAAGTCCTGCTGTTTCCGAGTTTTGCTCTGACACCAATCGTCCCACTTCTGCCATCTGCATTCTGGGCCCTGGGCCCCAAGCCCTTGACTTGTCCTAGTACGTGATGGCTTGTTCTGTCTTGTGCTCACTTGTCTTTTCAGCTCTATCTTAAACCTGGTTGTGTATTTTATCATTTTCCCAAAGTATTCAGAATGGCACTTTATCTGTAAAAGCTGCTCAGTGTCTACTGAGAAAAAACCCCGGTTTTACGTAAGTTTTATTGTAAGCAAATGGAGAAATGCCCTACAAATCTATTCTTCCTGCAGTAATGCCACTTTTAAGAGCGCTGTGATGAAGGAGTGAGAGGACATTGCCTTCGAAAAAACACATGAACTCATACTCTTCCTGCATTAGGAGAGTCTGTTAACATGTGAGGAGAAAAATGGAAGTGGAAGATGTAGTAACCTGTTGTTTGAGCTTTGCAAGAGCAACGGTGATACAATAAGCATCACACTCCGTTACAACAATCTTGAAGTTACATCAGTGTATCTCCTTTTCATCTCAGTTGTCATCCTTTTTGTATAAGCTACAAGTAGAATTTGTACCAAGATGGTTGTAGTACTCCCATTTCTCTAGCTAGCCTGCTTCAGGCACAGACTAAACTATCTAAACCCACTACATGTTTACTAACCTAAACCAAAATTTGGTTTTGCAGTGCAGGTTATCCTTTATTTTTAAATAAATAGATTTCAGTGAAACAGAGATGAAATGAAAATGCTAGCCATACTATAAGGTTGTACTGTAGACTATTTTTCTTATATTTATAATTTTTATTTAAAGTGTATGGAGGCACTCATGATCAAGCATTCTTCACCACACACTGTCCTTCTTGTCTTGGCATACCTTCATCCTGATAGGTAGCAGCAGGTACAACTTGAAATTGAGGCAGAAGCTATAGCTAGATTTCCATGTCCTGAGTTGCCGTAGTGGATTCTTGGCTGAGCTTAACTGCAGTCTGACCTAATCAAATACTGAAGGTCTCTTGTCCTGAACCTGGAGATTTGCAGCCAGACCTAAGTCGGGAGCCTGGAATTTGGCCCAGGTCTCCCTCACGTGGGTGACAGGGATTCAAGCACTCAGTCCATCATTGACCACCTCCTAGGATGTTCTGTGCAGGAAACTGGATGAAAAGCAAGGGAGCCTAGGAATCAGGACTTGAACCAGGCACTCCTGGTAGAATGTGGGTGTCCCTAGTGACACCTTAATCAATTCTCCATATATGTGCCCCAATAGCACCAGTTTTCTGTAATTTAAAATACCTGCAATCACTTTCAGAAGCAGCAGACCTTTCCACCTGTGTTTTGGCCTTTGTAATACTGTACAGGTATAAGGAGGGTCGGGCTTTTTACCTCACTTTGCAGATTTTGTCAGCATTTCTGGCCCCCAGGAGAAAGCCGCACCACATGCTGTATATGTTGGAGAATTAACACCCAAGTGCTAGCAGTGTTATCTCCTTTGTTTCCTACGAGCAGCTGTTTGCCTACATGTTTCCGTATCTTAATGCTTCATGCCTTCTCATTGCCCACTTAGCATGACCTGTGACAATCTGATTTCCTCCCTGGAACTTTCTGTATAATCTGCTTCATCCATTGGTACTTCTTCCTCTCCTAAGGCAGAACTAATTGTCTCCTCCTTTCTCATCTCCTGTCCCCTTTACCCCCCAGACCCACTGCTACCCAGACAGGCCTGTGGTTACTCTTCCCCTGTTCCCTGTAGCCTCAGTCATGTTCATTACCATCAGCCTCTGATCAGACCCTGCTTGGCATCCAGTAAGGAGTGTTTTCCTCTGTTACACCCAGAGCAGCAGTCTTCATCTTGAGTCCTTGTAGTGTGTACACTCAAGACCTTGGATGTATTCAATCTGATTGATTTCCTGAAGTGATGGCTTTTACTAAAGGAGGTGTAAATGAGTCTTTGGAGCATTTGCCCCTTTGCTTATTTCATAATTATCTACTTCAAGTCACACTAATTGCTTTTTAAGTTTAATATCATTCATGCTCACTAATTTATAGTTATGAAAAATTTTGCTACCATAAACCTTCATAGTTCCTTGTATTGCTCAACTTTTATTATAATTCACCATTATATGATGTTAAGGGGTACATTTGAGAAAAACATTAATCGGGCAGAAATTTTTGTCAGTTATGTTACTTCTAAGTGTTTTTATTAAAAATAAAGCTAAATATTTCCTAGTTTATACTTTAAGTAATTGAATGAACCATATTTAGTTGATTATAAAGTGCTTTGGTGGTGGCAATCTGAAGAACAGTTCTCAAGACGATCTTTTAGAAAATCTGCTCAATGCTGGTGCCTTAGTCACCCTTGTGTGAGCAGGTCTGGCGGTTAGTAGATATAAAAGATATCACTTCATGGAGGGACAGTGCACTGCTGTGCTTCCATTTGTTTTATGATTTCAGGCCACTAGTAAAGTGAATTGTAAAGTATCTGTCACATTATAGGGTTATTGAGGTAACTGGAATGTGTATCAGGTCTCTGTAGAACAAGTCAGCGTATTTTTTTTTTTCTTTCAGCTGTACACATTGAGAAGATAATGTTGAAAGGAGTCCAGAGAAAAAGGGCTGACAAATATTGGGAGTACACTTTCAAAGTAAGCTAATTCATCTGCGAAAGATCCTCCATTACCATGTTAATTGACCTTTGGAAAAATACAGCAGGTTTGCTAACTCAAGGGGGAAAACTGTTTATTTACTTGTTTTTAGTTAAATGTATTGTGTGGTAGATATTGCATGGTTTGCCAAGTCTTTTTAATGTGATACAATTGGGGGAAAAAAATTACTTTGACAAATTTAATGATAAATAAGCCTTCAGAGATAGGGAGGCAGTTAAGAGGTAATTGTGTCTTATTTTTAAAGTCCAGGTCACATGTACTGTCCTGGGCCTTTTCTCCTCTCCTCATCCGCTCTTGGTTTGCTGCCTTGATAATTGTGGCTGCTTTCTGTTGTCTGTCCTTTAGTCAGTCAGTATCTGATCGACCCACTGTGTTCCACCCAGCTCTCAGATGTTAGCTCCAGGTTAAGACTGCTTGTCTCCTCTTTGCCTGAGAGCTAGATTCCTTGTCCATATTTTCCTTGCCTCTCTGAGCTGGGGCTTCCCCATGACCTTCCTCCTGAGTTTGGCCTGCACGCTCCCTGGAGCCTGAGGCCTCTTGGACCCAGCTGCCATGTCCCTGCCTCCTGAGCCGTTCTTCCCCTGCAGCTTTGCTGCCCCGGGCAGCTGTGTCTCCCTCTCTTGAAGTTGCATCCCATGCCAACAGATGCCTCATTTCTCGTCTGAGGGTCCCACCATCATGGCTGTCATAGATCCTCCCAGTGGGTGACACCTGGAGAGAAGTCTTCATCCCCTGCTCATTTGTGTCTCACCTGCTCAGGCCTTTGAGTGAGCCTCAGCACTCAGTGTTCTCTGCTTTGAGAGGGCAGACTTTGAGACTTGTCTCCACAAGCCTGCCTTGTGGTCTGTGTTTCATTCTGCTGTCTACAGTTGGCCTCACTAGCTTTCCCTTCCTTAGCTTCACCATCCCTCACCCGAGACACTTTGACCCTAGGCTAGGGTGCACCTGGCTTTCTGCTCAGAGGTGCTTCTTGGCACTCTAATACTGTTTCTCCCTGCTCTTTTTTCATACCCTGTTCATTTTCTTCAGAGCAATGATCACTGATGCAATCTCTTATTTGCTTGCTTTATCTGTCCCCTGAACTAGGCTGAACCCAGCCGACAGAGGTTTCAGTTGTCTTGTCCATTCCCAAGTACTCTGACACAGGAGTGAGAAGAGTGCCTGGCACAAGTGTCTGCTCAAAGTGCATGGACTTTAAAGAGCATTTAAGCAATGAGTCAGTTAATAAGAGATTGCCTAAGGGTTGGTAGATCAAACTTCCTGTGTATTTTCAAGTATCTGATTCTTCACGTGATTAGTTGGCAAGGCTGTGGTATTAGCATAACCTAAATACGCACCTAACTCAAATAATTACAGGGTAGAGTTTCTAGTGGGGCACAGTTGAGTGCCCTGAGCAATGCGCTAGATGTCAGTTGCAGCTCTGGTGCTTGCTTACATTCATACCTCATGAAGTTAATGCTTTTGAGTTTCCTTGGAAATGGAGGTAATAGCACCTGTCCTGTACAGTCTTCATCCAATTTTAAAGATCTGGGATGAAGATTGAATATCTAGCCCATAAAAATAGGAACTGGTACAACCAAAAGGGGGACATCAACTCTTCATTCTGTGACATTTCAACGTTTTAGGAAACAGAGTTGTCCTCTGGGGACATGGTCTAGGCCATCAGAGTCATTGTGGGGTCCTGTAACGCCATGGAAAAGCAAGTCAGGCATTTTCCTTTCTGAAAAAAAAGCTACACAATTTGAAGAATTATCAGAAAACTTTAGGTAAAAGATACCAGTGTATAGTTGATTTGAGTAATTTTGAAGAGATTAGGATAATGCCAAATGAACTTTATATTTCTGATTGATAATCTTAATAAAATTTAGGTAAGACCTTTTGTTTGACTCCAGACTTTTTTTTCTAGCCAGATCCTGTCCAAGGAATAACCATATATAATATGTGTGTTTTTTCTTAAATCAGGTAAATTGGTCTGATCTTTCAGTCACAACAGTAACAAAAACCCATCAAGAACTGCAGGAATTTCTACTTAAGGTAAAAGTATAGATTTTGTTGTTAAAATTATTTTTGCATAATACGCAGAATCCAAAATCTCCTTGTCCAAATGAATATGGATTACAAAGTATAGGTCCCAGGTGGCTAGAGCTCAGTGCACAGTTGGTAAAGAGCATCAGGCTTGCTATATAAAAGTCTTCGAATCTTGCATCTCAGACCCTGCAACTCTTCAAGTCTCTCTGTGTGCCTCCTTTAAATTTTTCTCTTGATTCTTCGTCTGAGTTGTAACTCCCCAACCTCCATGGAATAGACTTTAAAATATTAGGACTAAGAAGAAAGTATGAATCTCTTATTCATGCTTGCAGTAGGGAGGGAAATTCAGGGCCAGAAGGAGACGGCTGTCAGAATAAACATAGGGTGAGGGTGGCACTCCCTTGTGTGCCTTGGCAAGGTTGATTTTTCTTCACTCATAGCTTTTCTAAAAACTTAGGTGGTAATGTATATATCTATCTATATCTATGTATCTATCTATCTCTCCAGATAAGTTTATAATTGTGTTTATCAGCCTCCCTGTTTGGCCAGTGACAGGCTAGAGTATTTTCCTGAAACATGAGTTAGCTCTCAATACCTACTTCCTTCAGTGCTGTGTGCACAGAACCTAAACTGGCATGTGGCACAGGGTGGGTGTTTAATGGGTGATTGTCGATTGGGCAAGACAGGTTGAAGATAAATTTGTGGGGTCTGACACAGAAGCTTGTACAGGTACCATTGGCTTTTGAGCTAGTTTTATTTAGCTGTGTGTAGATACTTAGCAGAAGTCATGTTTTAATTTGGTAATATGCCAACTGTCATGGATCTATATTGACGTGCTAATAATACCAAAGCATAAATATTGGAGAATGTTCTCTCCTGTAGGGCTCAGAGAACATGATCCCATGTATGGAATGCCAGCTGAGCTAGGTCCCAGGGGGAGCCCTGCTCTCATGGGTGCCGTGGACTATTGTGCCTGGCATCAGTCAGCCTGTGCTACCTGGATAAAACTTACTAATTCTGAAGCACTGACTCAGAATGCTTACTTCTTCTGAAGAATATTTATTTTGGATTTCTTAAATATTTAGATGTAAATCAATTTATATTAGGTTTTATAATTCTTTGACTCCTTAGATTCTGCATTGTTCCCTTAATTTTCGTGGAAGTGCCAATAACTCAGGAGTTAACTAGCACAGGTTAGTTATCAAAAGTTGAATTTAAAACAATTCTTGAGAGACTTGCAAAGTTTGTTTAACAAAGGGTCAACTTAGCAGGGATTTTTTAAAGTCAAAGCAGCCGACTGAAATGATGGCGTTCTCAGTTTTGAAACTTCCTTGGGCGAGTGAAGATTTGTTGATGTTTTCCAGCATATTCTTCTGGTGACAGATCCATTCTTGGTGCTTCTGGTGCAAGGAAGATTAAAAGCTTTCTTCCTGAGTCTGTATTCAGGGCTTTGTCTGGTACCCAGCCCCTGCTGGTAGTCTGAAACTGTCTTTTAGGCACAAAAGTGATCATTATAACAACAGAAGTAGCACTTTCAGAAAACTCTTCCAGTATAAAAATACCATCAGGTGTGCTGTGCAGTGTTGGTTTTAACTTGAGAAGCATGTTGGTGCTCTGGTTCCTGGTGTCCCGTGGGAGTGCACAAAAGTGCTGTGTCTCCTGTGGGAGGCTCTGTGGGCTCCTGTGTCCTGAGGAGTTGGAAAAGGTTTCCCAGTGTCATGTGTCTCTGACCTGGTACATAGTTGTCAGGAAGTAAGAAAGCTAACCTTGGGCTTGTTCTTTCTTTCTAGCTTCCAAAGGAGTTTTCTTCAGAGACTTTTGATAAGACCATCTTAAGAGCCCTGAATCAGGGTTCCGTGAAAAGGGAAGAACGGCGGCACCCTGACCTGGAGCCCATCCTAAGGTGAGCGTTGCTAACGGGGGACTCGCTGCTCAGAATACGTTTAAGCGATGCCACAGAGGTGCTTTCTGAAATGGACATTTTATCTGTTAGCTGTTTAGGGCTAGGCTCTTTTGTCATTGTACTTTCCTAGTCCTTTAATATCATGAAGTTCAGTTGTGTCTGCAACAGAAAATCACTGGCAAAACTGCTTGTTTTCCCCTAAGAGTGTCAATGGAAAGAGGCCTTTGGGGATGTGTTTAAAGATACCAGTTCTTGCCAAAGCCCATTGCTAGTCAAGGTCTTGGTGTACCACTGTCAGGTTTTTGGGCTGTGGAAAAAACATGTAGGTGAGATGGGCAATTAAGTATACTGCCAGGCACCCAGAGTAGCTCCCAGAGCCCCTTTGTGTCTATAGAGAGAGGAAGAAATTGAAGATACTGGGGAGAGGTCCCTGAAGAGGCAGGAAACTTGTTGACTAAGGTAAGTTGTATTTAATGATGAGAAGTAGAGGGATGCTATGCAGATAATGGCTAACTTTCTCTCAAGAAGAGGTTTGCTTAAGAAGGGTGAGAGCTGGTTGTTGCTTAGCACTTAAGGCACCAACATCCCACATTGGAATACCTGGTTTCAGTTCTCAGGTTCAGCTTTCTACCAATTTAGACTGGGAAACAATAGGTGATGGCTCAGTCAGGGTCCTGCCACTATGTTGGAGACCAGATGAAGTTCTTTGCTCACAGCTTTAGTCTAGTCCAGCCCTATCCTTCTTGAGGGCACGATGGGGATAAACCAGTAGATGGGAATGCATTCTCTCTCTGTTAGTAATTTCTGTAGAAGCAGAAGCAGTGCTGGCCTTGTGTAGTTTATCAGGGCTTCAGTGCAACTTGGTCTTGCCATCTGAACCAAAGGGTGCCCAATTGTGGGAGTCGACATCCTGAGAGAGACCGCAAAGGTGTGTGTCATTTGCTGTACTAGTACCCACTGCACTGGAAGGAAACTGGACCCATTGAGTATTCTCAGGATGGCTGGGGCCAAGAAGGAGGGACCAAAGCCCTCACCTTAGTGCAGAAATCTGGGAGGGCAGGGAGTTCTTGTTGGACAAAATCCGAAGAGCAACCTGGCACTAAGTGGGCAGGATAAGATGGGAGACAGATGGCCTCATGGGGAGAAAGGCAGCTGAGCACAGAGTCTGCAGTGTCAGATGGGTCATCCTTGTGGCCCTCCAGCAGTGTGAAGAAAGGCTTGGAATGGAGGAGGCAGTATGACCGATGCCTAAATTGGGTAGGAATTGGCAACTGACCTGGGTTGGCACACGCCATATACCATGTGAAACTGGGTGAGGTGACTGGAGAGCAGATTCAGACAGTGTGGGCACATACATGCTTACAAGGTGTGTGCAGAGGAGCCTTCCACCTGCATGGCTGTTGGGAAAGCTGGAACCCAGGTTGTAGCTGGGGTAGGGAGATATATAGGCTTTATGTTCTGAAAGGTCTCAAGACAATGCACGGGCTCAGAAGAGGAAGGGGAGGAATGAACAGGAGTGGAGCAGGTGCCCCGGATGAGACCAGATAGCTGCAGGTGGGGAGTGGGTGATGGTTTGGAGCAGCTGATTGGAGTTCTCAGTTCCTGTGCTGAGGGGCTTTGATGGACATTTTTGTCCCCTAGGAATTGTGGTCAAGGGGGCAGTTCTTGTTCTGCAGTACCCAGTGGGTTTCAGGCCGTGCTGGGAGGCTCCAGAGCCCTTGTTTCATAGTGGACCCAGCAGCTGGCAGATTCTCAGTTTAACATGTGGAGAGGTTGCTTAGTAGTGAATGCCGCTGCACAGTTGCATGAGAGACTGAGACTGACAGAGTGAACCTGAGGTCTACACTGGCCAGGGGTGGTAGTGAGGGAGCCAGATGGCAGCCACTGGTATATGTCCAGCAGCGGAGTGTGATTCCTGGGCCCAGCAGATTGATGTTCATTGTTACCTTGTCCACATTGGCTTCCGTGTATGCTTTGATCCCTGTTGGGCTGGGTATATTACTTGGCCTTTGAGTCAAATGGCTTTTCCTATGAGAAGTTGATGTCTGGAGCATGTTCAGTGCGTTAATTTACCTGCTAAATGCAGCTTGGCCAGCTCTGAGTATCATCTTTAAGAATATTTGTTAATGTAATAGGTGGGTGGTTATCCCATTGATTTAATTTTCTTCCCTTTATCAGTGAAATTCAAAATCTTTCTGTAAGTTTAGCCATCCATGTGTTGTGGGATTATGTTTACCTTATCAGTTCCTTTTGGGTCCTTGTGGTTTAGTAGAGTTTTTATGTAATGTGTATTAATTTGTGGTAAAATTTTCAGTTAGCTGTGATGGTTAAAATGAAGTTTAAGATGCATGGTTTATCAGCCTTTGATTTTAGGTTCTCATTAGTTTCCCCTCAAGATTAAAAAGTCATCCCCAAGTTGTGAAATAGTAGGTACATTTGGGTAGTCATGCAGGAAAAATAAAGTTAGAGTCCTGTGTTGTTTCTGTATCCAAATTATGATGACTCAAAGAAGTAAATCAAAGGAGAAAACTTGAAACTTAAGACAAGTGTGTGATATGTCACACAATACTAGAAATCATTAAAGAGAAACAATCAAATATTCAAATTTTTTACATAATGTGAAAGAAAAATGTAAGGCAAAGTGAGACACATTTCAAGTTCAATACAAAGTTTCTTGTGTAGTATTTTAAAATGAACTAAGAATTGTAGGATATGCAATTCTTGTAGATTGACTGAAGCGGGGGGGGGGATGGGAATGTTATGGACCAAGAATATAGAGAAGCTGGAATTTTTGAGTGGCATTAAATATGAAAAGATACTCATGGGTGCTAAAAGAAGCTTTGAGATAGTTTGACCTATCACACATGAAGGATCAAAAAGTTTGTAGGTACTCTTTGATGAGGAGGAACAAATTGGTGTTGCTTGATAGCAGAAGATTCAAATGTGAATGTCCTGGACCCTGCATTTTGAGTAGCAGGTTAAGTCACTGTGACACCAGCATCCCGTGTGAGTCATGGTTGCTCTGCTTCCATTCCAGCTTCCTGTAATGCACCTGGGAAAGCAGCAAAAGTTGGCTCAAATGATCAGGCCTCTGCCTCCCACAAGGGAGACAGACCCAGGAGAAGCGCCTGGCTTTGGCGCCCCCCCCACCCCCCAGTGGCCGTATTGGCCATCTGGGGAATGAACCAATGGCGGAAGTTGTCTCTGTGCTGTGGTGGAAGTTGCCTCTGTGCTGTAGGATAAGGTAGCGAAGGTGGTTCCATGAAGGGGAAAAGAAGAGTCTGGCATTAGCAGTGAGACTCAGTTTTGGCTGCATATGTTATTTGATTTTTAATGGAGAGGGGACAACTCGCATAACATGTGGTTAAAGTTGTTTGTTTCTTACGTGAGAAACAGAGTTCCTGTTGTCTGGTTCACTCCCAGGATGCCTGGGACCTGAAGTGAGGCCTCCCAGGTGGGTGTTGGGGATTGACAGCCAGAGCCCACTCTGCTGCTTGTCGGGTGCGCATTACCTGGAGGCTGAGTGCGCGGCCTGCAGACCGGGCTGCTTCATGGCTGAGCCTGAGATCTGCTGCAGGTCTTTTTTTTTTTTTTTTTTTTTTTTTAACATGAAACTATCTCTTTAGAAACTCGGGTATTTTGTGTGATAATTTTTGTTTATTATTTTCTTAATTTATTTTGTTACATCAAATGAATCCAAGATGTAAATTGACTTCTCTTTCCAAATAATAAATAGAATTTTTATATTAGTGCTGTCTTACATGAGAGGGCTTTAGAAGAGTTAATGAAAAATGTGGTTTATGAAAAAACTTGTATGGATTTCACAATGTTTTTACACCAAAATAAGCTTACTTTTTCATCCCAGTTTCTGCAAATGTTTTAAGTCACTTCATAAGGTTCCTGGCCATACACTTGAAGGTACATTAACATCGCCTCTCATTCTTGTTCTTGGTTCATATTTCAGTGACTTGTACTTTATTAATAGTGTCGATGTGGTTTTTGGTTTCTTGGCACTTTTTTTTTTTTGCTTTTAGCACTGTTTCTAAAGCACTCATAGTCTCGTATTTAATTTGAGATATAGGCAGTTATTTTTTCCTAGGATACAGGTTGAATGTAATGGTCAAATTTTAGTAATACTTATTTTATTTATTATTTCAAAATTTATTTATTTGAAAGACAAAAAGAGACACCCGTATCTATTGGTTCACTTTCCAAATATTTGCAACAATCAGGGCTGGGCCAGGCCAAGAGCCGGAAACTCCTTCTGGGTCTCCCACCAAGTGCTTAGGCCGTCATCTGCAGGGAGCTTGATCAGAAGCAGAACAGCCCAGATTCAGCTGATACAGCTTACAGGCATCACAAATGGCAGCTGAATCCATTGCACCAGAACACTGGCCCCATACTAGCCATTTGTAAAAAATTATTCGTGATTCCCGTCCTTGTTAGCCCTGTCCCTGCTGAATGAACAGTTAACTCGTAAAGCCAGTTTCTGGAGAGGGTAAGGCAGCAAGCAGCATGAACAGGGAACTAGGTACACTGATGGGTGGGCTGGAGGAGGGGCCCAAGTGGGGTGAGGAAACCCTTTACTCCCTAGGAAGGTGGGCATTGCTGAGAAGGGGAGGGCAGGCATGTGGAGATCTGGCCCTGCTGGATGTTGGAGCCAGATCCCTATGCAGAGGGAAATCTGCACATAGCTTCTTTGTAACACACATGGCTTTGATGGATCTCTTTTTTCTCAAATGTATGTATATATTTTTTAAAATGAATGTATACTATATACACTTTTCCTGTCCACTTGCTGTTTCTACTATGTGTCAGGGTCATAGCCACTCATCCGTACATGTGAAGATTGTTCCTAATTTTTCTTGTTTGCTATGTAATGTTCTGTGTTTTTTGCTGAACCATGTTTCAATTAATTGGCATTTTTGTTGCCACCTTAGTTTGTAAGTATGTTTAAACTACTAGTCAGTACTACCATGGCTAGGTACCTATATCTAGACACATATGACTAGATTCTTTTGTTAGATAAGTTTACGCTATTTTAATTACATGTACTTTGGTTTTTGACTGACTTTAGTTTGCATAGACTCAGCCCCTTGCCGTGATCTCTTGGGTGCTCTAAGTGTATGTCAGTGCTCCTGTAAGTGGGTGCTGACTTGGTGTTTGGAATCATGTCTGGAATGCTGCTTAGACTTGGGTTCCAAGTTGAAGATATGTTTGTACTTTCTGAATTTATTTGAAAAGCAGGGTTAAGAACGGGGTTTGGGAGAGTGGGGGTGGGAGAGGCCATCCCTCATTGACTGGTTGATTTCTCAGATGGCCACAATGGCTGGTTCTAGGCCAGGCTGAAGCCAGGCTCCCATGGTGGATGCAGGGGCCCAATTACTAGGACTGTCTTCCCTTGCTTTCCCAAGTGCATTAGCAGGGAGATGGATCAGAAATGGAGCACCCTGGGCTTCCTGATGCTCAAATGGGAGCCAGTGTTTCAGGCAGTGGCTTAACCCCCTTATGCCGTGACACCAGCACTGTGCCCATGCTTTTGACCAGTTGGTTTGTGAACATAACTGGGAAGGAGTTCGACTGTTGGCCTTTGGACTTGAAAGGCACTTGTGTACGGTTGTTGACATGTCTCTGGTTCACTCCCCCAAGTGCTTACAATAACAGCTCTGGGCCAGGTTGAAGCCAGGAGTCTGGAACACCATGTCAGTATCCCATATGGGTGGCAGGGTTCCAGGCACTTGGGCCATCTTCTGTTGCTTTCCTAGGTGCGTTAGTAGTATCACAAGCAACAACTTAACTCTCTGCACCTAAACCCTGTTCTCTGCCTTTGGATTTTTTTAAAAAGATTTATTTATTTTTATTACAAAGTCAGATATACAGAGGAGAGATAGAGAGGAGGATCTTCCGTCCCATGATTCACTCCCCAAGTGAGCGCACCGGTCGGTACTGTGCCAATCCGAAGCTGGGAACCAGGAACCTCCTCCGGGTCTCCCACGCAGGTGCAGGGTCCCAAAGCATTGGGCCATCCTCGACTGCTTTCCCAGGCCACAAGCAGGGAGCTGGATGGGAAGTGGAGCTACCAGGATTAGAATTGGCGCCCATATGGGATCCCGGGGCGGGTTCAAGGCGAGGACTTTACCTACTAGGCCACACTGCCGGGCCGGATTTTTTTTCAAAGATTTCTTTTTATTGGAAAGTCATATATACAGAAAGGAGGAGAGGGAGGAAGATCTTCCATCTGATAATTCACTTTGCAAGCGGCCGCAATGGCCAGAGCTGAGCCAATTCAAAGCCAGGAGCCTCTTCCAGGTCTCCCACATGGATGCAGGGTCCCACGGCTTTGGGCCGTCCTCGACTGCTTTCCCAGGCCATAGGCAGGGAGCTAGATGGGAAGCAGGGCCACCAGGATTAGAACTGCCACCCACATGGGATCCCAGCGACTTTAGCTGCTGGGAATTGTGCTGGGCCCTGCCTTTGGGTTTTAATCACAGCTTGAAATTCCAGGTATTCAGCCTGGAAATTTAGATTAACTGCTTACTTAGCGTCTTGGTTTTTCTATTTTCATCTTCATTTCCCCTATGTCTCCTATTGAATATTTACCTCACATTAGTGTGTTAGGAAGCAGTGTTGTCTCATAGACTAAACAGTGTAGGCCCATCAGAGGTATCTGTTGCTGGGAGAGTATTTCACTATTATGTAATTAATTTGAATGATAAGTCACACACGTTTAGGGAAAATTAGGAACTAACCTGTAAAATGAACATGAAAGCGTTCAAGAGAAGAAGGGCTGTGTCTGTGGGGTCCTGTGTGGCAAGCAGGGTGACAGTTTGTTCACAGCTGACTGAGTCTTGTAGCCTTAGTGCATTGGTGGGGTTCTGTGAGGCAGTGGGTGGGGGCACGCATTGGGTGAAAGCGCTTGTGAGTGGTGGAACTAGTGTTGAGCTTCAGAGTTGACTTTGGGATGCTCGCTACCCTTTTTTACCAGTCTGGATCTTATTATTATGTTAATGAAACAGAGGAAAATGGGTTTTCAGGTAGCTTGGAATAATGGTTGTTTTACATTGAACATGGCCTGTGACTTGGCCGAGCCTCAGAAGTTGGTAGCATCACATATGGTTGTTGCCATGCCTCCCTCACTGTGTTCTGTGTTTTCCTACTCTCGGCATCCCACGTGTCCAGAGACAAGAATCCCCCTTCAGTAGTGCAGCCAGGTGATAAGGGTAATAAAGCAGAAAGGCAGCTGTGGTACCACTTGGGCAATAGGCTGAAATACATTTATTTGCCAAAGTGTAAACCTTACTACTGGATTGTATAAAATTAAAAATTACTTTATAGATTCTTGAAGTAAGTCTTGTTAAATTTTACTCACTTTTTCCTATAGGAAACATTAGAAATTACACCTAAAGAAGAAAAATAATATCTGTCTATATCTGAGTTAAACAGACTCTAAAACCTACTTTATCATCGAAACAAATTTCTGTGGCTATTTACTGCTTGAACTTGACAAGTCTCTTTTTTATGTGCAGGCAGCTATTTTCGACTTCATCGCAAGCTTTTCTGCAGAGTCACAAAGTACGCAGCTTTTTCCAGTCCCTGTCACCAGACTCGCTGCACAGCCTCAGTAAGCACTGCCTTTTCCTCCAGCGTTGACCGTGCTCCCTGCTTGGTTTTCTTTGCAGTGTCATCATGGGTAGATTTGTCACTCTAGAGATAGGATATACAGTGAGGAGATAATTGTTTCTCTTAATAACATTTTTGGGTTTGTTTATCTGAAAGGCAGAAAGATATTTTCATTCAGTTCATTCCCCCTACCCTACTTAGCATTGGTTTGACCAAGCCTACGCCAGGAACCTAGAACTCACTCAGGATCTCCTCCACAGGTCATCAGTTACTGCCTTCCAGGATGCTCATTGGCCAGAGTCTGGGATTGGAAGCACAGCTGGGACTCAAACCCAGGCATTCCAAAACACTGTATTACTGCTGCCAAACACCAGTTTGTTATATTTTAATAATGTATTAAAAAGCTATATCTGGGGCCTGGTGCCGTAGCCTACTGCCAAAGTCTTTGCTTTGCACGCATCGGGATCCCATAGGCCCCATCCCTGGTGGCCCCATTTCCCTGGTGGCCCCATTTCCCATCCAGCTCCCTGCTTGTGGCTTGGGAAAGCAGTCGAAGATGGTCCAAAGCCTGTGGGTCCTGCACCTGCGTGGCAGACGTGGAAAAGTTTCCGGGCTCCTGTTTTTATATCGGCTCAGCACCAGCCATTGTGGCTACTTGGGGAGTGAATCAACAGATGGAAGATCTTTATCTGTCTCTCCTCCTCTCTCTCTGACTTTTCCAATAAAAATAAATCTTTTTTTCAAAAAATTATACATGTAGGGCGGGCATTTGGCCTGGTTGTTAAGATGCCGGGTGTAACGCCCACATCCCATACTGGAGTACCTAGGTTCTAGTTGCAGCTCCACAGCTCTGCTTATTATTCCAGCTTCCTGTGAATGTGGGTGTTAGCAAGTGACAGTGACGGCTCAGAGACCCACACTGTTTCTGGCTCCTGGCTTTGGCTCTGCCCAGCCCCGGCTGTAGCAGGGATTTGGGAAACAAACCACTGGCTGGGACCATGCTTGTCCTCTTGCCTCTTTCTCTTTGTGCCTCTTAAAATAAGTAAAACTGTTGAAGAACTGGTAGGGGCAGATGTTCAGTTAAGTGACAGTGAAATCCCTGCTTGGCACCTCATCTGTATCCGTGTCTGGATCCACGTCCCAGCTCCGCTGCTCAGACCTGCCTTCTGGTGCAAACCCTGGCAGGCAGCAGGAGACTCAGGACTTCCTCCTTGCCACCCACATGGGAGATTGAGTACCAGCTCTTGCTTTGGCCTGGCTTTGGCCTAGGCTGGTTTGGGCATTCCGCAAGTGAACCATCCACAAGTTCTCTCTGCCTTTTTAAAGAAAAGGAAACTTCAAAAGAAGCACTGCAGAATGAAGAGGTGTATTTAGGTCTGTGTTGCAGACTGCGTCCAAGTGTAAGAGCACTAAGATTCTAGGCCCTACCCTGTCCCCCAGGTCCTTGGCAGAGCTGGCTTACAGTCTTGCTGATGCTGGTGCCTTCCCTGTTTGTCAACTGTTTCTGGAATGACCTTTCCAGCTGTTCATGCATGAGACATTCGATGGAGTGTTCTCACTTGCCCTCTGTTTCAGTCACTTAAAGGCCAGCCTAGACTAGACGGGTTGTCTTCCTTTTTGACCCTTTCCAACTGCCCCATTGTTTCCTTTGTGGCTAGGAAATTCACCAAGAGAACCTTGCTCTTTTCTTTACGTCTAATTCTTTAGTATATCCCAGGGTTTTCACAGGGACGTTTTTAAAAAATTACGATTATGTTTTTATTTTCACTTCACTTAAAAGGCAGATTGATTGCAGCCACTGGTTCAGTCACTAAATGCTTTCATCTTGCAGCTTGAGATAAGCTGCGAGCCCAGAATGCCATCCCTGGTCTCTTACGTGAGGGGCGAGTGCCCCCACCCCGGTCCTGGAGCCAGCACCTGTGCCTCCTGGGCTGCATGTTAGCAAGAAGCTACAGTAGGAATAACACACAGATTTCATTTGGCTCTCCAGTACAGGATGTGGACATCCAAAGTTGGGATATTTTTATTATTTTTTTTTAAGAATTATTTATTTTTATTGGAAAGGTAAATATACAGAGAGAAGGGATACAAGGAGAACATGAACTGGTACACGTATGGGATCCCGGTGCGTGCAGGGTGAGGACTTTAGCCACTAGATTATTGTGCTGGGCCTCAAAGTGGTGTCTTAACCACTGAAGAACGCTCACTTCAGGGTAATTTGATTTTTAATCCTGTTAAATGCTTTAAGAGTTTTTTTTTTTAAGATTTATTTTTATTTTTTTTTATTGGAAAGGCGGATATACAGAGAGGAGAGACAGAGAGGAAGATCTTCCGTCTGATGATTCACTCCCCAAGTGAGCACAATGGCCGATGCTATGCCGATCCAAAGCCAGGAGCCTCTTATGGGTCTCCCACGCGGGTGCAGGATCCCAAAGCTTTGGGCCGACTGCTTTCCTGGGCCACAGGCAGGGAGCTGGGAGGGAAGTGGGGCTGCCGGGATAGAACCGGCGCCCATATGGGATCCTGGGCGTGCAAGGCGAGGACCTTAACCACTGCGCCACCGCGCTGGGCCCAAGAGTTTTATATAGGGCCCAGGACGATAGTTCAGTGCCTAAATCCTCACCTTGCATGCGTCATGATCCCTTATGGGTGCCTGTTCTAATCCTGGCAGCCCTGCTTCTCATCCAGTTCCCTTCTTGTGGCCTGGGAATGCAGTTGAGGACAGCCCAAAGCCTTGGGACCCTGCATCCATGTGGGAGACCTGGAAGAGGCTCCTGGCTTTGAATTGGCTCAGCTCTGGCCATTGCGGCCACTTGAGGAGTGAAACAGCAGATGGAGGATCTTTCTCTTTGAACACACTCTGTATAACTGCCTTTCAAATAAAAATAAATAAGGTTAAAAAAAGAGAAAAGAGCTTGGTGTGAGATTCCAGCCTCACACCTTTCTGGTGTGCTCCAGCTCTCATGGGTTCTGTATTTCTCACTTCCTTGTGCCGTTTCCTTGCTATCTTCATAGATCACCTCTTCCAAGCAGCTTTCCCTGTGGTTCCTAATGTGTCACTGTTCCAGTTTTGCCTTCCTGTTTCAGGATTCATGACAGCCTGCCTGCTGCTTAATCTTACATTCCTCTGCCTCAGCCTTCCTCTGTAACAGATGTTTTGGCAGGAGCATTTATGTATGCTTTGGAAACTTCTGCTAACTAAGCAAAGCCACCATAGCAAAAAACATGTTTTCTTGTTTGTTTGCTTGTTTTTTTCCTTATACTGTACCTAAAGGGCAAAGACCACCTGTAAGTTTTCAATTTGAGGTAGAAGGGAAGGAGGTGAAAAAGTAATATTAAATGTTAAAATGCGTAGGTTGACTTTTAAAGTATCTCTAAATGTGCATATATGCCTCATTTAAAACATTCGATTTAACATTTAAATATGTTTCTGAAAGGTAGAGGGACAGGAAAGAGGTCCTGTCTAATGGCTCACTCCTTCAGTCCCCCCAGTGACTAGGGGCTAAATCCTGGTCCAGAGGCCTCCGTCCACATCTCCTGGGTGAGTGGCAGGAACCCTGAGCCATCGCTACTGCTTGCTGGATTGACAGCAGCAGGCAGCCAGGCACTCCAGTGTGAATGGAAGTGTAGTCCACACCTTAACTATGAGTGATACCCATCCCAGAATGAAGAATTGTGACTTTGTACATTGACTAAGGTACAGAGCTCTGTGGTCAAGCTTATGTCCAAATGTCGACAGTGGCTTTTATTAAAGAGAATCTTGATTGCTCTAAAGCTGAAGATTTAGCAATCAGTACTTTTCCCCCTAAAGTAGGTTTTTAATGAGTAACTGCAGGTAACGTCTGTTTCATTCCAAAAGGGCATCAAAACAAAGTTAAATTTTAAATTCAGATTAGCAGACTTCCCAGAAAACCTCACCAGGTGAATTATAAATGTGAGTAATAGGACGATATGTTTTGCATTGCCTGGTAGTGTCTTAAGTTAAATGAGCAGTGCTGGATAGTTTCCTAAGGGTATAAAGTTTGTCTCCTGTGTGACTGTGCATGATGTGAGAATTTGGGCAATGTTACTAGCATCCTATTCATGTGTGTCTCAGTTGTTTGACCCATGAACACATTGTTGTCAGGAGTGATCTGCAGACCTTTTCTTTGAACTTTTCTTTGAAAAGTTGATAGTTGTATCTTTTGTTGTCCTGGAACAGACATTACTATTTCCATAGTCAACATGTGACACTGAGAAAATTGTTCCCCACTCCTAAGTGACTGGGGTGTTAAGGCATCAGTCCTGCTGATCTCTTTTTGTAAAATTTTTAAATGGGAAGTAATACACTGCTATGAAAATATATTCCCTGGGCCTACATGTCACTTCTGACTAGGCTTTAAAGAAGTGGAGCAACTAAATAGTTGAACACACATATCTGACTTTCCAATAAAAATAAATCTTAAAAAATCTTTAAAGTAGTTCAGCATCGGTACCCTGTTACTGTACTTTACAAAAAGGATGATCCATAACAAGATGACTGTAAAAAGCCAAAGTAAGGACAGGCATTTGGCTCAAGCTTGGCATGCCTATGTCCCACATCAGTGCCAGCTGCCCTTCCCATTCCAGCTGCTTGGGAGGCAGTACCTGATGACTCAAGTACCTGGGTTCCTGCCACACCTAGCAGACACTTAGATTGAGTTCCTGGTTCCCAGCTTCAGCCTGTCACAACCCTGGCTGTTGCAGACATTTGGGGAGTGAGCCGGTTGATGGGGTGAATGGGAGCTTGTTGGCGTGTTTACACTCTTTCAAATTATAAAATAAACATTAAAAAAAATTCTTCTACCACAGGTGCCTGCTCCATTTACCATGTTGCTTGTCAGCACCCTGGGCTGACTGGTGGAGGTTTCTCAGCTCTGCAGTTCAGGGCCCTCCCAGTGCAGTGCTCCATGCTATGGCTTCAGGTGTCCTAATGGTCCCAGCTGGAAGATCTGTACTGTTCACCACCAGCCCTCCACTCCCTCCTCCTTGGGAATCGAGTAATCCCTGTGCTTTTCTTCATAATAGTTTTCCTGAAAAGCTAATAGTATTGAATACTTCCTGCAGATAACTTACAGTCCTCTCTGAAGGCTTCAAAAATATTAGAACACTTGAAAGAAGACAGCTCGGAAGCTTCAAGTCAAGAAGAAGGTAACTTTTGACTTCGTAGAGCCTGCTGTTGGATCTGGTACTGGCACAGGGCTGGATGAGGCAGAGGAGCTGGGAAGCAGGTGCTGACAGTTGTGGCTAAGGGGGCAGGACAGGCCAGGCAGTAAAGGGCTCTCCATGGGAAAATACTTATTTGGCGTCTCCATGTGAGTAATGACTTGATCTGAAATTGAAACTTCTTAGTGTCAGTCTGCGAAAACACCAGTAACATTATCCCAGAAAAAATATGGACAAAATCCACAAATAGGAAATCCATGGGAGAAGAGGCAGTCACTAAACAATATGCACTACCAGGAGTCGGGGAAAACTGAGCTTTCATCTTGTGTTAATCTGATTGGCAAAGTGTTCTCAAGTCTGAAGTTATTAAAGATATGAAGCAGGAGGGACTGTTGTGCTCAGGGATGGAAGTACAAATTGGCACAGTTGTGTTGGGCAGAAAATTGGCACTATGTTTTCTGGAGATCCTTCTGTGCTGCTGCCCAGCGATTCTGAACCTGTGAACGTTGCACATGTGCCCAGTGTTTATACTTAGAGCAGCGTTGTGACAGCAAATACCAGTAAAATGTCTTTGTAGAGTTAATAAATAAATGGTGGTACAATTGTACCAGGAGGCAATGAAAATAAAGGATATTTCTAATATACTCAAACATGCAGCACCATTTTATGAAGCCATTTATAGATGGGCAGTTAAAAAGCTGCGTTGTTTCAACAGGTCAATACTAGTTAGCTTCTCTGAGAAGGACAGGTGAATGGTATAGAGACCTTCAAATCATGTCATGTCACAGAGAAGCCTGGAGATGGGTGTGTGTGGCTTTTGGTTATGCTGATACGTGCTGTTTTGCATATTCAAAATGTTTTGTTTTAACGGTAAAAAAAATTCGACCTGAAATTCAGCACTACAATTTGTAATGGCTTGCTCATTTCGGACACTTAGAGCTTTGGCCAAGACTGACTGGCTGTTAAATTGAACATGCTTTAGAGGCTCTTGAAGGTAATTCAGGAACTTATTGTGTCTTGAAGCTGTTTTTTGTGCCAAGAAATAGAGCTTGCACCACCAGTCTGTCAGCACAGTAGGATTGTGTATATTCTAACGTCATATAATTTTTTTAATTTTTGCTGCAGCATTTAGTAAAATAAATTTTCCTCTGCTCTAGATGTGTTACAGCATTCCCTAATCCACAAGAAACATACCGGGAAAAGTCCCATTGTGAAGTAGGTATCCAGCTTATAAAATGTCAGTGGTTTTGTACTTTTTAAAATGAGTACAACTAATGCACCTGACTATAATTTTACCATTATACAATTTTTTTTTATTTGTCCCAACTTCTTTATGTTTTTCATCTTTCTTGACTGACTCCTTTTGTATGTTTTGTTTTTCTCTTCTGTTAGTCTTGATAGTTATACAGTGTTTAGGGGTTTCTTTAATTCTTCCTATGAATGATACTACACATCTTAAATGTATTCAAGTCTGATGTTAGTTTGTGCTTTTCCTTGTTTCCCAACAATCTGAGGACTTCAGATAACTCTACCTCCTTGATCTTTTCCTAATTTAGAAATCAGAGCTGCTGTGTATTTTAATTCTGTGGTTTTAAATGCATGGAACCTGTTTCAGTATTTGTTAAGATTTTGAGCTTCATTGTTCTTTGTCCCACACTGTTTCTAATCATTCACCTATGATCATTTTTCTTCTAACGGAAGAACTCTGGAGTACCTCCTGCAGTCACATGTGTCAGTAATGGGTGCACTTTGAAAGTATTTTGCCTTCATTTTTGAAAGTGGTCTCGTAGGATCTGGAGCTGGCTGGAAGTTTTTCTCTGCTGGTCTCAGAAAGCACAGCCTCCTGGTCTTCTTGTTCAGGAGCCTGGGTCCCTGCTGGGCTGTTGTTGCAACGCGCCTCAGGTTTCTGCCGGATAACGTAAAATCCTGTGTGAGGTTTAGCTTCCATCACAGTAGCACACACAATTGCTCCCAGCCTGAGGCTGATGGGGCACTCCCTGCCTAGGGTTCTGCCCAGTCTGGGGCATCCTGCTTGGGCTCTGTGGGCAAGCAATCTGGGGAGATGCCAGCAGCTTGAAGTCCCACTTGCTTCTAATTGTGGTTTCAGTGATAGATCCCTGTTTGGTCTCCTGCTTTTTCTCTCTCTGCTTGCTTGCTTCTGCTTTCTGGAATCACTTCTGATGCTCTCTGAGATCACTTAGGCATGTGCTTTTTTGAGGGGGAACCCTTGGTTAAGGTATTGGTATCCGTTGTTTGTGTCAGCATTAACTTTTGTATTCTAAAACTTAACATGCTGTTTTCTTTTGATAACTTTAAAGTTCTTATTGTAGTCTGAGTTTAAGCAGTTTTCCTACCATGTGTTCTGTGGTTTTCTTTGCGTGAGTTCTGCTTCCTGAATCTATCGTTTGGACTCATGATTTTTAGAGAACTTCTTGCTCTTACCTTTCCAGATACTCTGTCTGATAAAACTGAGTTCTTTCAGTAGAATTTTTACCCCATCTTTTAAATAACTTTTCAAATTTTTTTCTTTATAATTTCCTTTATTGTATTTTTTTCAAACCAAGTTCCCTTATATTTTCTCATTTATTGACTTCTTAACATCCCTATATTTTGCAGTTTTATGATTTAAATTATTTTTTTCTGTTTCCCAATACTTTTCCAAAATTCTCAAAAGTCCACAGGCAAGAACTTCTTTCCTTGAACTCTTAGGACCTGTTTCTGTTGTCTGTCATGTACCCTTTAACTTTGCTGTGGACGTATGACTGTGTGAGCCTCTCCCTTTCTAGCCCTCAGTGCTACAAGGGAGCCACCATGGCTTGCAGTCAGTACCAGATTGTGCACATATTACTGCTTTTTTCAGTGACCAACATTCATGATTACATAAATGGGGGCTGCTTTTTTCTCACTGTGTACTTTTCCCCTTAGACCTCTCACTAGATATTGTGTACAGAACTAATACATGGAAGAAAGGGTTACTGTAATATCTTCATTGAAATAAAAAAGCAGGTTAGATTACTGAGGACTTTTCACACTTTGATAAACTTCTCTCAACAGCAGCATTGGTACAAATTGTTCTCCATTGGATGGGCTTACCATGCAATACTCTGAACAGAATGGAGTGGTGGACTGGCGGAAGCAAAACTGCACCACCGTGCAGCACCCAGAGCACTGTGTGACCTTGGCTGACCAAGTATGTGAGGCTTTTGTTGTGTTTGATGCTGTGTAAAGTGTTGCTACTCTATGGATTTGTAAACATGCAGTCAGTCCGTGTGACCAGAAGAAATGAAGTGTTTACATGTTACACTTTATACTGAGGTGGTATGTGCAGTCTAAGTGCTTGTGAAATCCTTTGTTTCTCATGGATGATTAGTGTACTTTAAATATGATACCTAAGTGTTTTATTCCAGCTAAGACCGTATTGTTCTGCTAAAACATTTTGATCTTGAGTGAATTCTCATGATTCACTCACGACTGACTGCTTCATGAGTAGTTTGCTGGCTCTGTGACCTGTGGTTTTCTCAAGAATTGGGGGTGTGATGAGGCTGGAGTGCTCTCAGCATGTAGTATTGACCCACAGGTGAGGAAGCATATGTGCCACGTGTGTAGCATGAATCCTCTCTCTGGAAATGTGATTCCCTAGCCTGGTTTGTTTTCAGCCAGCACTTAGATCCGAGTATTAACTTTTCCTGAATAGTGTTTTCACAGGCTAATACACTAATACCTATTTGAAGAAACTGTCGTTTGTTTCCATCCTACTCAGGGACCCATTATCTGAGCCATCTGATTATAGTTTCCCCACTCCACTACCTATGCCCTCTTTTCAAACAGCTGGCAAAATTGTGTTGTCAGTTTGTCTGACTGAACTTCTAGGAGAATACTAATAAATCTGAAGTGAATGTCAGTCATTCAATTCCATTTTTATTTTGCAGTCAGTAAGAGTAGGGTCAGAGCTCTCCTTTTTTGGTCTGTTCCCCAGAGGCTTTAAATGGATGGGGCTAAGCTGAGTCAAAGCCAGGAGGGAGCCAGGACCCCAAGGCAGGTCCGTGACGAGGGTGGATGGGGGGCAAATATTTAAGCTATCACACTCTTCATCCCAGGGTCTGCCTGAGCAGGAAGATGGGTTGTGAGTAGAAGGACTCTAACCAGATGTTGTGACAAGGAATCCAGCTGTCCCGACGTGCATCTTCAAACACATTCCAGCCCCATTTGCGTATTCCAACACATTTTCATTTCCAACCTATTTTTAAATTAAGTCACCTGCTGAACCACTGAATACATACTCTGTGACAAATATTTAGGAGAAAAATACTTACTATTTTTTTAAATAATCTGCAAGAGGCTCCTGGCTTCGAATTGGCTCAGCTCTGGCTGTTGCAGCCGCTTTGGGGAGTGAATCAATGGATGGAAAATCTTTCTGTCTCTCCTTCTCTCTGTATATTTGACTTTCCAATAAGAAAAACTTAAAAAAAAAAAAGAGGACATGGAGCGGCAGATGCCATTTTAATGTTTGATAGCAGAATGAAACAATGCCTGCGTAAGTGTAAGGTGCCTTTCATCTCTGTCTTTTCATTGTTTTTACTAGCATTCTGCTGAAAAGCGGAGCACGGCTTCAATAAGTAAGAAGAAAGGAAAGTCACAAATAGAAAAGTAAGTTTCAGCCAGAGTGCAGTTTTGGGGACAGCATGCAGTGTGATTGGCGGCATGCTCATGTGACCCAAAGTATCATTCCTGTTTGGTGTCCTCTGTTTAAGTTTTGGACTTAATCTTTTTTAGTTGAAAATATTAACATAGGTGGATGATAAAGATAAAACTGTTGTCAAATAGTGTATTTAGTTTGGAGGCCCTGAAGGATAAATCTTACTTGTATTTAGTAATACTGTACTTAAGGTGTGTGGTAGAAAATGTTGGTAACATGTGCATTTCATTTAGGGAGAAAATGAAAAAAGCAGATAACAGATTGAATAGCAGAATAAATGGTCTGAGAGTGTCTGCTCCTCAGCATGCCCATGGTGGTCCTGTGGAAGGTAAGAACATTTTTCTTTCACGTTCTCATCGCCTAAGGAGATTCAGCACGTTTTCTGTGTTAGATCTAAATACTGTGATTTTTACGTCACATAAAAGCATCAAGCAACTTGCAAGTGAAGCAGTTGTTGCTAGAGTCAGCTCAGGAAGTGTCGCCAGCCATGGTGGTGGACTTGCCTGCCCTGCCTTGAGCTCCCAGCTTGAGTCTCAGGCCAGTCCCTGCTCCGTGGCTGGCCATGTCTCGGGTTCTGGGGAATCTCGCCTGCACCTGTGCCCTTGGGTTAAGTCACTTTTCAGGGTGGTGCTGACTTTTTCATGATTGAGTAACTGCCTCTCCTGGGTTGTGGAGGGGAGCTTCAGTGGTGTTCTAAGCCTGAGTGCTTGCCTCATTTAGTAGTGCAGAGGAACACAGTACAGTGGTGGTTAGATGAAATAGTCGTTTTTAGGTGTAAGATTTTCGTCACTGAAAAAGGCCCCTTCTGCTCATTGGTTGTGGACTTTTCTGTTTGCTTACCTTTAGCATCAGTAGTGAAGAATGCTGTTAAGAGGCAGAGCTCACAAGCCTCTCGGAGAGTAGTTGGTCCCCTGCGCACCTGCCATACAAATAGGGGCTTTTTTTCATTCAAGTTTTGTTCCAATACTAGTGCATTCCATTGTGACTACAGTATAAATAACTGGAATACCTTTCTTACGTGGAGAATATTTTCTAGCTAGATGTGTATATAGAAAAATGTGTGCATTGTGATGGAAGAAAAATAGTTGCATTTTAAGTTTTAAAATCATGTCCACTTAGTGAATCGGCTAAAGAGAGGCTGGTGAAGGAGCCGGGGGAGTGAAGCGAGAATGGTGGGGAAAGCCCCTCTTGTCTGTGTAAGGATCCAGTTCCAGGAGAGCATTGTAGCATCACCACCGGGATTTCCCATGGTGATGGTACCTGATGGAGAGAAGGCTAAGAAACACTGAGATCTGCCCTGTTCCTGAAGGTTGGGGTAGCCTCTGCCCAGTTGCCCCGAGTCATTTTCCGTACTGCTACTTACTTGTCTGAGGTGCACACTGAATCGGATTGTTCTACCAGAACCCCTGTAGGTGTGTGCCACCCTCCACAAGATCATACTCTTTTCCTGTCATTTGGAATCCCTGCATGCCAGAGGCATCTAACTGTACTGTTTCCAGCCCCTGGTTTCCAGAACAAGCCCAGGGACTTGGTCAGATACCTGCTTATGGGCTTGGAGCTTGGGCTACCCCCTTTGTTTTATTGTGAGGCTTCTCACCTCTCTGGTTTCTCCATTTTCTCATTTGTATAACAGGAATAATGTCTGCCACCAGACTGTAAGAATTAAATGTGCATATAGAAAGCATTTAGCGAATATCAAGCAGTTAGGTGTTCAGTGTAGTTCTGTTTTCCTATTCTAAGACTAATAGCATAAACTTTGTAATAACATTCCAATTCTTTTTTCCCTTTATTTCTTAATTTTCAAGTATTATACCAAAAAAAAAAAAAAAACCTTAGCAGTGTTGGTTAGGTTATATCTTATTCTTTATCTGTAGTCACTGCTTTGTATTTATTTATGCTTATGGATAATAATGGAATAGAGCACACATTGTACAGCTTCATCGTGTTGTCAAATGAGGATCATTTGTATACTAATTCCAGCTTTAAAAAATACTCTGTTAGTTTCCCTTTGAAATATTAACTAAGAAGGCACTAGTAGTCAGATAATACATTTTGAGTTTTTCTTAAATTAGAGCAGCAGCTTGTAAAATGCAGATACTGTATTGACACTGAAAGTATTGGATCCTTCTGTTTATTAGGCTGTTAGGATACTTAAAATCCATATTCTAGCTTAAAATATGTATTGTTTAAATTTATTTTAGCATTTCTGTTTCAAGTAATAGTATATTCATTTGCCCCCCCCCAAAAACAAAACAAAACAAAACAAAACAAAAACTACCGAAGGGAGCAAAATCCCTCGCCTTGCTTTTCTGTGGTGTCTCTCCTAGGAAGGCGATCTGTCCTCAGCACAGCCCAGCTTGGTGTGTCTTCTGCAGACAGATGTGTGGGTGGCCTGGGGCAACTGGCAGGAACTGTCACTGCTCTGGTCCTCACCTCCCACCCTGATCTGCTGGTGCCAGTTGTGACACCAGAAAGAATTGCAAAACAAAAATCTCCAGCTTTCTTAGATAACCCAAATATTAAATGTGATTCTGTCACCTGTGATTTATCTGCAAGTTCTTAACTCTGAAACCTCATTCATAATTACAAATAACTAGAATGTGTACTCTTAGAAGAGACTTAATGTTTTAAGGGTTTTTTTTGTCACCTTAATTATGTGTAAGGCCTTTGATTGTTTGGGACGTGATAAAAGCATGTAAATCTATTTAAAATAAGGGCAATTTATGGAATATCCTCTGTTATTTTTTCTTCCTTACCTTCCACACCTTTTAAATCTCTGGCAGATCACGTAAGTTTTGAGTTACAAGGTTCTTTGTTAATTCTGAATCAATTCTGAATCTTTGTTTCTTCTGAATTTTCAAAGAAAATTATGTTTAGTATAGTTCTGTATTTACCTCTGTAAAATGTAATTCAGCATGTTAATTTGATAATTAGTGTATCAGCATAGTGTAAAAATTGTCTTGAAGTTTTGGAAAGAACTAGTTTGCTTTTAAGATTTATTTATTTCAGCAGCTGAGTGACAGGGAGTGACTGAGAAGGAGATCTTCCAATCACTGGTTCATTCCCCAGATGACAATGCCCGAGGTTGGTCTAGCTCAGTCTGGCCAGGAGCCCACAACTCTCCCACATGGGTGGTGGGACCCAAGCACTCTGCTTTCCCAGGCACATTAGCAAGGTGCTGGATCAAAAGTACAGCAGCCAGGACTTGAACTGGTGGTGCCCATATGGGATGTCAGCATTGCTGGCAGTGCCATACCTGCTATTGGGTCCAAAGAACTGCGTTTAAGGGGAACAACAACAAAGAAACAATGGGCCAGCATTGTGGCATAATGGGCTAAGTCACCACCTGCAATGCAGCATCCCTTATGAACACTGGTTCAAGGTTCAGCTGCTCCACTTCCAATCCAGCTCTGTGCTAATCCACCTGGGAAAACAGTGGAGCATGGCCCAAGCACTTGGGCCTCAGCATGGCACCCATATGACAGATGTGGAAGAAGCTTCTGGTTCCTGAATTTGACCAGGATAAGGCCATTGCAGCCATTTGGGGAGTGAGCTAGCTGATGAAAAGTCTGTTCCTCTTTCTTGTAATTTTGCCTTTCAGTTAAACCAAATGGGGAAAAACATTCTGACGCTTGCTCTGTGATGTTTCAAAGATTCCTCCATAATGTTACTATCTTAACTTTCAGTATACACCACTCCCATATAGTTCCCTTTTAGTCCATCATTTCTATTTGAAAATATCTTTGTTTCTCTGAATCCTTGGATTTTGTCGTGTGTTCCTTGAAATGTTAGTGGGTATGATTTCCATGTGTGCTGCAGTTTTTTGGCTTCTTTTCTTTCTTCTGGTCAATGCCAGCTTGTTTGGCTGCCATGGCACATGAGGTGGTCTACAGAGAGCCAGTGGTGGTGAGGTGGGTCCATTAGTCCCGCTGGGATGGCAGTCACAAGCTGTTACTCAGAGAAAATTACATCGGCAAAGTCATATACATACATTTCTGTAGAAGTGGTCCATGAACTCTGCTGCCACTTTGCTCGTAACCGTATTAGATTGTGAGCAGTTTTCCCTGGGCCATTTGGCATCTAATTAGTTGCCTCAAAGGAATCAGCAATGTTTGCATTCTTCATGGCACTATTTTTCTTCAGCATTGATCCAGTGTTTACTTGGACTAGGCCATCTTAGCAATCTTAGCACTGAAATGTATCCTTTTCATGAGATAAAGATTAGACAACTAAACTGCTCATTATACAAAGTCTTGTCTTAAGCATATGTTTTGCTCAGGCAATCAATAGCACCTTTGTTGGTTCTACCAGAGGAGTCCTTTTTACTAACTTAAGAACCCTCTAGAATTCCTTACATGGAAATAGATGCACCAAGTATGTGTTGGATGCTTGCTGTAAGGTAGAAGCTATGCTAGCTGCTGGGGCTTACAGAAAGAACAGGCCCAAAATTGCTAAGTCTGGGCTGGAGTAGGGATGTCCACTCTTGCAGATTCCAGTAATTTCTCCTTAGGTTCTCAGAGCAGCTATAGCTGAATGATCGTAGCACATATTGAACTTTACTCTCACCTCACTATTTGGCTTGGCTGTGGGCAGAACAGAGGGCTACTTAATTTAGAAGACAGACAGCTAAATGTTATTTAAGTGCTCGGCCCTATAATTTTAATTGAACAGACATTTGAGCAGTCCTTTCTGTTCTGGAGCTAAAGTTTTAAAGACTAGATTTTCTAACAGTCTCAAGAATTAAAATATTTTGACTTTAGAAAGTGGCTCAAAGTGGTATTATTGAACCAGTGATATTAATAAGCAGACCCTATAAAGAATCCTAAGTCCTGATTTTTTAAGGCATTAAGACTTCTATGCCTTTAAATACATATTTATAAATTATTTTCTGTTATCATTATAACTTAGTTTTCACATAGATAAAGGAAAAAATTTCATAGGTTGATTTTTAAGAAAACTGACCAAAAACATTTATTACTATAAGTTTCTAATGGTTACATTTGTGAATTTTACTACTTAGCATGAGTTTTTAAGATTTGTTCTTTTTAGATGTGAATTTGGACATCGGATCTGGACATGACACATGTGGAGAAACATCTTCAGAGAGTTACAGTTCTCCCTCTAGTCCTCGACGTGATGGAAGAGAGAGTTTTGAAAGTGAAGAAGAGAAAGACAGAGGTTTGCTTTTTAGGAGGGGGTGTAGGGAGAGGGGATTGGGTGGAGGGAGTGGTAGTTGTTTCAAACTAAGACAAGGAGTTTCATGTTTCTGCAAATGAATGTATATGGCAATAGAAAGATAAAACCGTTCCAGCTATCTTCCAGGTCCTTCTTGGGTGTACTTTTTTTTTTTTTTTTTTTTTTTGCTTTTACTTTAAACCAAATTTGTATCTTTAGAACATAGGGATTTCTTCAATCTATGTTTCAGTTTCTATCATCTTGTCTGTTTAGTTCATGTTACACTGATGGAACTAGTGGAGAGGTAGGAGTTCCATTCCCAGCTACTGTTTTCTGTGTGTGTTACTCTTCCATGTGCAGAAACTCCAGTCTTCCTTGGAAGTACACGTAGCCACAATGAGGATGTAGCCTTCTAGATTGCCAGGAGTGTTTGAGAGCCCTCTGGGGACATCTTATTTCCAGTGTTCTGATGCTACTAAGTAATTTTGACACATGTCCTCTGCTTAAGAACCTGTGAAGGAACAGAGCACTCAGGCTACTGGATCCCTGGCACCACGTCAGCCCTGGGGACCTTGGGAACCTTGCAGACCTGCCACCCTTGATTCTCATAGCTGCTGTGGGTGAGGGACTGTTAGAGCTGGAGAAGTGGGGGGGCTAGGACTAAGACAAAGTTCTCTGAGGCTCTGTTTGCATGACCAAACATTTCGCAATTTGCTGCAAGCCTTTAGCTAATTTTGCCAGGATTTTTACTGCTTTTATGGGAAAAGTAGGTCATTGGCGGTCCTTTCCTCTGCCGTTTGGGTCTGGAAGTGAGATCTCTGAACTCAGTACTGCTGAATGAGGGCATCTTGCTTTGCACGTGTTGACAACATGTGAGGGTCAGCATCTTGGGCATAATGTATTGTCCCTCCTGGCAGGCAGTGTCAGTCCTAATGCCCCTGTCCTGGAGCTCGGGGCCACCACCTTGTGTGTTAGGGAGCTGGGGCACAGCGCTGCTTCGTCTCTGCTTTGCAGCTATGTTGTCATCACACCAGACACCAGACCTAGCCGGTGCACATAATGATTCTACCAGCAGGCCTACTGACTGTTAGGAGAAGTTAGGCCTGCTCATCTGTTAGGAGAAGTGCATGTTGGAGCCATTCCCCACTTGCTCTCGGCCCTTAGCTACACAGTAGCTGGCATGAATCACACCATCAGCATGTGGTGATGTTAAGTAGATTTCGTTTATCCTTTCCCAGGAAGACTAGTTTGTTTTTAGTGTCATATCAAAACTGATTTACATGTTAAACTGAAAAATCCAGTTTTTAACCTTAATAAACTTAAATATTTCTTTAGATTTTTAGTAAGTTGTAGCAGATTCAGTATAGCTCCTATATACAATTCTAAGACGCTTAATTTGAGTCAGCTTATGTCTAAGCAGAAAGATTTTAGAAGAGTTACTGTTTTTAGCTGTGTCGACTATGTCCACCTCACAGTGCATTGCCCTGTGCATCAGTGTGAAAATCCAGGAAAACCATAGCTGATGTTAGTGTGTCGAGGAGTGAGAGGAGTGCTGCAGGAGAAAGAGGTGCCTTCCAGTTCTGTGTCTGCCATTGGGCCGGTTTGTGTGTTATGGCTTTAAATTTAAAAATTTTCTTTCTATTAAAATACTAAGTAAGAATATTACATTCTTAACAATTTCATTCACTATCTTTAGAAGTTTGAATTAAATGTTGTCTTGATTTTCTTTTAAGAACTGAAAACCTTGGATTTGGCAGTGTAGAGTTAAAATCTCAAATGGATTATCTAAAATTAAGCATTAAAGAGTACCTAACACTTAGTAACAAGATATTAAATAGGTATGTTTTATACTTTGCTTTGTTCAGTCTCTCTTTAGATTTTTGTTGCTTGTATTTTTGTATCTGTAGATATATAGATACAGATTTTTTTTTTTTGAGAGAGAGACCTCCCATGCAGTGCTCCACTTCCTGGATGCCTGCAGAAGCTGGGGCGAGTCCAGGTTCAGCCCAGCTCGCGGCCACCTCGCAGGTTCCATATGTATGCAGGCCACTGGAGCCAGGAACCAGAGCCAAGGTGCAGGCCGTGCACTCTGCTGCAGATGGAGGGGTCTTCACTGCTGACCAGGCGTTGTCATGATGACCCCAAATTAAAAACTCATTTGTAGAGTCAGGGGACCTGGAAAGAGCACATTCTACATACTAGTAAATTTTAGCTCAATGTGAAATTCTAGTGGGAAAGGTGGGAGTTGGCTGTTGACTAGGCGTTAACGATGCCTGTTTTCATGTGTTTCTCTAGACACAGACAGCAACTCTGAGGATTCTGGGAATCCATCAACAGCCAGGTTCACAGGTTATGGCTCTGTCAACCAGACTGTCACCGTCAAGCCAACTGTTCAGATTGCTGGTCTAGGAAATGCGAATGGAAACCTCTTAGAAGATCCCTTAAGCTCACCCAAGTACCCTCCCATTCCTTTTATGCCAGCTTTACACTGTGTCATGCACAATGGTGCCCCAAAAGCTGAAGTTGTCATTCCTGTCTCCAAATCTACTGACGGCAAAACCTTGGGCATGCTTGTGCCCAGGCCTGTAGCTATTTCTGCAGTCAGGGAGTCGGCCAGTGCAGCACCTGTGGGAATCCTGGGGCCCACAGCCCCCACTGGAGAAGCAGAGAAGCACCGTGACCTGCTGGTTCCCCCTTTACCCACCCCATCCACCTTCCTTCCCCATGGGAGCACTCCCACATTGCACCCACCATTTCAGGGGCTAAAGTCACCACCGCCACAGGGATCTGCTGAGAATTGCACGGTGAATATCCCCCAACAGCCAACAGCAAGCCTGAGCATCGGATCACCAACCACTGCCTTTATTCATGTCCATAGCCCTGGGGGCTTCCCAGGATCTCCTGTGACTGCCACGGACCCCATCACCAAGTCTGCACCCCCAGTGGGAGGACTGAATCAAATGGTGCCTCAAATTGAGGGAAGCACAGGGACAGCCCCTCAGCCTACCAATGTGAAGGTAGTTCTTCCAGCAGCTGGCCTCTCAGCTGCCCAGCCACCAGCTCCCTACACCTTGCCGGGCTCGCCCCTCGCTGCCAGCGTGCTCCCCACCCCAAGTTCCAGCGTGCTCAACCCAGCCGCCACGTCGGCACAGCCTGTGAGTGCAGGCCTCAGCCAGGCCCAGGCAACTGTTCCTGCTGCTGTTCCCACCCACACACCGGGTCCGGCACCAAGCCCCAGCCCCGCCCTGACCCACAGCACCGCGCAGAGTGACAGCACGCCATACATCAGCGCCGGGGGAAGCTCAAGCACTAACGGGACAGTGGTGCCACCAGCGCCGCAGCAGATGGGCTCGGGTCCTTGTGGCTCTTGTGGGCGCAGGTGCAGCTGTGGGACCAATGGAAACCTGCAGCTCAACAGTTACTATTACCCCAACCCAGTGCCCGGGCCAATGTACCGAGTCCCGTCCTTCTTCACCCTGCCATCCATTTGCAATGGCAGCTACCTCAGCCAAGCACATCAGAGCAATGGAAACCAACTTCCCTTTTTTCTGCCTCAGACTCCATATGCAAACGGACTGGTGCATGACCCAGTCATGGGGAGCCAGGCCAGCTATGGTTTGCAGCAGATGGCAGGATTTGGGAGGTTCTACCCTGTCTATGCAGCACCCAATGGAGTTGCCAGCGCCAGCGGTTCGGGGCCCAAGAAGAATGCCACTGTGTCGTGTTACAACTGTGGTGTGAGCGGACACTATGCCCAGGACTGTAAGCAGTCGTCCATGGAGGCCAATCAGCAAGGTAATCCCGCTAACTCCCACAGGACTTGTTTCTGAGCTCCCCCGGGCCTCCTTCCTTCCCTTAGTGATCACGTGAGCCCCTGGGTGCTGAAGGAGCCGAGTGTGGATGTGTGTGTTTATGGAGATTGTGTTCACTGACATCATAAATGCGAGGAGAGAACCCTAGTGTAGGCCTAGCACAAGGGAGTTCAGAGGACTCTAGTTCTAACCAAAAGACAAACAAAAGGCACTTTGCGAGGCGTCTGTGGGAACTTGCACTCTAACATTAGATCTTTTGCTTGCAACACTTTTTTATTTTTAAAGTTACACTCCTGTTTCGCAGAGTAAGCAGAGTTTGAAATAGTAAACAGCTAACGAAGCCACCCAGCCGTCTGTCAGCCATCTGAGGGGTCAGGGCCTAGTGGCTGTGCTTTCCTGGCCAGCCTTGTCTCCCTTCTACTGTTCTCCATCCCGCATGTGGTCCGAGAGAAATTCCAGGTTCTGTTGCATTTTACCTGAGTAAATGAGTAGTCAGCTGAGTAGTCAGCTGAGTAGTCAGCTGGGGCTTGCGAGCTGGGAGAGCTGAAGTCAGTTTTAATATTACCACCAGGAAAAAAGACAGTGCTCATGAAGTATGAGTGAAGTGCTGAAGAATTTAGTGTTGACCTCAGCTGTCACTTTCCACTTGCATCTGGCCTGTGTAACCGAGTCAGATCTTTCTTAGGGAGCAGTCTGGAGGTGGGAATACATAAATTAGGCATTTTAAAAGGAGAAGCTGGTTGACAGCTCTAGGTTGAACTTGAAGCACAAACTTCAAGTCTTCAGAAGGAACTTTGCTGTTCAGAGTGGTGCTAGCACTGAGGCGGGTGCCTTTGAGAGCGTGCCGTTTGGGATCTGTGCGGTGTGATGTGGGTCGTGTAAGCGGTGACTTAGCAGTTCTGTCTCTCCCGTTTTAGGCACTTACAGACTGAGATACGCACCTCCCCTCCCCCCTCCTAGTGATCCGTTGGATTCTGCAGACTGAACCAAGTAAAGCTTCCTACTTTATACCCTGGAGTGTGGGGAGGCGTGGGTGTGGAGGGGAGGAAAGGAAAGGTATTTGGTTTGTTTCTTTGTCTATACATTTGCTAGATTTCTATGCAGTTGGGATTTTTCCTTTCTCTTGTACCAATGTCCAAAACAAGGATGAACGGGGTACCCCAAGCCCATCGTCTCCTGGTTCCCGATGCGGCCTCCGAGGGGAGACGGTGCCGCGCGCTGTTTATTACACTGAATACTTGCTGTGTGCAATGTTTACTGAATCTTTAAAACTGTGTATTTGATTTTTTTATAACACTGGTGACAGTCACATGGTTTTGGAAAAAAAAAAACTGCTTCTTCCCCAAGCTTTTCTTACTTTCTCCCTAAACTCCACGTTTCTCGCCAGCTCCCTCCACGCTTGCTGGCTACGCACGGGTGACCAGCTGTGTCTCTGTCCCCACTCATAAAGGCTCTGCTGTAAATCAAGGGCGAGTGGGAGACAAGAGCCCCCACGCTGTGTGTGTGCACACCGTGAACAGCATCCCACGCGCACAATGACACATGGCACTTGTTGTCCAAATCAGAATGAAAGCAAGAGGAACAGGCAACACCATATGAAGTTGAAAAAATAGGACACATGAAATAGACACACAGAGGCGTTCTTTAAAAAAACAAAAATGGAAAACATCACCAGAAACGCTCCTGACTTCCATCAGCCCTTCCTGGCCCGTTGCTTCAGAGCAGAGCCACCCTGCTGGCACGAGTGGTGTGCTGGTCCCCGTGTGCTTGTGTTTGTAGTGATGTCAGCCGGTTGTACATGCCTCCCACACCAGTCCCGCTCACACACTACCTTGTCCTGTACCAACTGTTACAGTGTTGCGTTGTTTCAGATGTGTGTGGTCTTACAGTCTGAACAGAGCTGTGGGGTTCCACAAAGTCAGGTCTTTGTTCCCTGTCTCTCGTAGCCAAGTCACTTTTATAACAGTTTACCACTCTGCTTGATTATAATGTGAAAGACTGAAATTCCAAGTGTGTTAAGATGGTATTAATCATGTCAGTGTCATGTCACTAAGTTTAATGCTGCTGTTGAAAAATGAGTTTTTAAAAAGCCAATCTATGTACTAAATTGCTTCCAGGTAATTTTTGATTTCCTAAAGTGCACTGGGGTTATCTGGAAGCGGGGGTGTGCGTGCTGGTGACTGCCGCGCCCCGGCAGTGAGCATGTGCCCCGGGAGCCCCTGCCTCGGGTGAGTGCCCACTGGTTGGACCCCGTCGCGGGCACTAACTCTGGCGTACCACAGAGGAAGCGCCGGGTCTGCTCTGGGTTCAGAAGCCTAATGGATTGCTAGACAAAAGCAAAAACTTGAAGAAGCTTAATTGGCTGCTTCCTAAGTAGCATTTATATTTATAGCACCAATGTACATTTTGAAACTTTCAGGGGTGGGGTTATGGGGAAGGGGGGGAAGGGGTGTGACGGGCTAGATGAAAGCTTTAATTTAGAAAGAAAAAGTTTGAGTAAAGGAAATTATTTTGAGTAAATATATTTTATTTGATCTGGGTATTTTTGGACCACATTATTAAATTAATTGTTAAGCTGCAGTTGAGTTGTTCAAGTGAGAGTGCCGGTTAGCCACGTGTGGAGCGCGTTGTGGATCACCTGCTGGTTGTACCTTATGGAACTTATTTTATGATTTCAGATACTGTACTGTACACAGGAGGTATGTCACCTCCTCCTTATTTGTATGTTTACCATATACTTTGATATTTGAAATGTTATGTACTGGAAAGGCCACTTATATTTCTAGAACAGATTGGATTTTATGCAACATTTTTTCCTTGAATTAACAGCAATAAAAAAAAAATGAAAAACAGCTTAAGAATTGTGCCTTATTGCAAATTTTCTGAAAGTGAAAGATAGGGCCATCATTTATGGTGTTTCTTCCAGATAAAGCCAGTTCTCTGGAACTGGGTGTTCAATCCCAGTTATTCATCAGTTTAGAGTTTCTTTCCTGGCCCCCTGGATAGGGAGGGAGCCTGCTGTGGGTGGGAGCACCTTGCACCTGCATTGCCGACTCCCTGAGGCCTTCCCTCATCTGTGAGCTGGGCCTCTGTCACAGGACACAGGGTTCTGTGAGCTCATTGCTTCCCTCTTACCTCACTGGCAAGACACGTTTGGGGGGGCCGCACTCATGCCCCAAAGCCCTGAGTGACTGCAGGCATCTGGTGCGACACGTCTGTCCGCAGCTGGGCCTGGAGCTGACTGCATGTCAGCAGCACCACTGCGTGCCTTAGTGTGGGTGCTGGGCCGCCCGGGCACGATCCCTGCACTGCCTGGGCCTTGCCTGTCTGCTCAGCCCAACGTTGCCCGCACACACGCAGCTAGCATGTCTGCGTACCTGACCTGGTGCTGATCCCAGGGATTCGTCACCGCAGCTGTTCACCTGCACATCCTGCGGAAAAGCTTGTGTGACTAACGGACTCGGCCCCCCATGATTTTCTATGTACTTAGTGCAGCCCCTTGTAGGGACGAATGGTGTTCCCGATCCTCTGTCAGCGGGCAGTTGGCTGCTGTTAGGAACAAGGCTGCTGACAGTTTTGTGCTGGTCTCCCAGTGGTCGTGAGCCCAAGTTCTCCAGGGTTATATTCCCTACCAGGCCGTTGGATGGCATCTTCGAGGTTGGCCACACTGCTTGCCAGGCAACTCGCGGACACACCTGCAGCTTACTAGAGACCTGTGGATCCACAGCCAGGCGAGAACCCTCTGGTGATCTCCCTGCACGGAGCAGGAGAGCGATGACAGAGGTGCGGGATGGTGACGGGGCAGCGGGCACTCCTAGTGCACAGCGGAGGGCATAGTCATGTGAGAGGTGGCTACAGCTGGTGAAGTCACTCAGTGGTGTTGCTGGGTGCACATACGCTGTTGCAGGTACAGGTTGCAGATGGAAAGGCAGAGAGGTAATTGTTAAGGTTGGGGAAGGCAGTGAGGGCCTGGACTGCAGTGCTGGCAGCGGGCAAAGTTTGCCTAGGAAAAACACGAGGAGCGGAATGGACCCATGACCCCCGCTTCCGTGCATGCTGATTGATGGTGCTCGAAGCCCAGCCCGTGAGGCCCTAGTGAGAGGATTCGGGGGGAGTCACATGCCTGCAGCAGAACAACAAGGCAGTTGGTAGCCCGACTCTACCCTAACCACATCTGGAATGAAAGGTGTGTGCTGGGCCCCTCCCCGCCAGATGCCCCAGGAAGCGCTGGGAGCACTTCAACGCCATACCCACCTCCTGCCTCCGGAATCTGCTTGGTTCTGTGGTCACTGCACGCAGCGCCTGTGCAGAGGGGGCGCTCCCATGGGCCACAGCTCAGAACAGAACCTGCCTTGCCCTCTCCGCTGGCCGCACATGGATGTGCAGCACCTGACCACCCAGGAGATACACGGGCACTGGAGACCCCATCCACAGTGGGCTGTGGGTGTGGCCACCATGGGCTCTCTGCACTCCCAAGTCCTGGTCAGCTCCCGGAAACCGCTGGGGTGGGTGGGGACAGCGAGGTGGATGGGGAGAATTCATCGCCACTTTGCTCCTTCAGCTCCGGTTCTGCTCCCTTGTGCAGAGCAGGTCAGAGGCGGCTTCCCAGCAGAAGAAACTGGTCACAGAGCACCAGCACCCCCTGGTGGGAGAGAAAGACCCTGCAAGCAAGCCGATGTGACTTCCTGGTGGTCTTGTATAGAGGAAATTAAATCTGAGAAAAACCTCTGGGCTTGTAAGCCTATACCCCACCACCCAGACAGCACAAACCGTCTGCTCCTCTGGTGTCCAGGTGTGTCCTGAACTGACTGCCAGGCCCCGCCAGTGCCCCCTTCCCTGTACTCCTCCCTGGCCCTGTCTTCACACAGAGCTTGTGAAAAATGGACAAATTAAAGTGATAGGAGAGCCCAGGGGTGATCCAGGCACAGGGCCCCTGGATTCCCGTGAGAGTCTGGGAACACCCCGTTGGCCTGCAGGCTGGAGGCCTGGGCTGCGTGGTCAGGAGAGGGCAGGCCTTGGGCAGCACCCAGCCCCCGTGTGGCCATACAACTGCACTGAGCCAGGAGGCAGCCCCGTGAGTGCCAGCCTGCACTGGTGGGGGGTGAAACACAGGTGCCCTGTTGCTGGGCTCTGTAAAGGTGGATGGGTGTGGATGTGGCGAAGGGCAGAACCTGCCAGGCCAAGGGGTGAGGGTGAGGGGACAAGCGGAAGTTCTAACTTTGACACAGCGACTGGCGCAGGCCACCCTGGCCCCTAGCCATAGCCCCTAGAAGCACACCATCAAAGCTCAAGAACATGGTGGCCACCCCTGCCTTGCCCAATGCCAAAAACGCCACCAGGATACTACCTAGTGGTCACTGAACACTTACTGCAAACACACTGGAGTTGGTTCTTGTGTGTTACATGGTAACCTGTGACAGTCCTGTCAGGGGTTCCCAGCACCAACCCCCACCCCCAGCCCACTTGCAGGTGACCTTCGCAGGCCACTCTGCAGAGGGGGACAGCAGCAGTTGCTTTGCAGCTGGGTAGGGAGAGTCACAAATGGCAAGACACAGTCTCATGCTACACGTGCAGGTGGTCCTCGGCGCACTTCGCACAATCAGCCCTGACACAGCTCACTACCCTCATCGCAACCCTGGGAGGCAGCTGCACACTGTCTCACTGTCAGGAAAACTGTCAGGAAGGCTAGGTGTCGGTGCCCAAGAGCACTGAGCCTGCAGCTATGGCTCCACACCACCTCCGTGTCAGCATCACCAACAGACAGCCCCACACAGGACCAGGCCCTGTCCACTGCCTTGCCGCACTGCAGCCCTCCTCACACCCACCCGCATCTTACCTGAAAGCTCGTGAGCCAGACTCCAGAGAACTGTCCAGGGCCAGCTCCTGACCTGTGAGCTTGCTTTGGGTGACCCGTCTGTGATGTGGCCAGGATCACCCGCCCCAGCCGGCACCAAGCTGGTCGTGAGATGGGGGTCTCTTCAAATCCTACGGGAAGAGACGGGCTCTGAAGTCCTGCCATCTGGCCACTAGGGGGCAGCACAAACATGCTCAGTCCTGAGCAGGGACCTTTCCCGGAGACTTTTTTTTTTTTTTTTTTTTTTTTTTTTAAAACGGTCCTTCTTCCATAAGGAGTCAGCTTTGTATTGAAAGCTTCTCTTTTTTTTTTTTTTTTTTTAAAGATTTATTTTTATTATTTTTTCATTGGAAAGGCGAATATACAGAGAGGAGAGACAGAGAGGAAGATCTTCCGTCCGATGATTCACTCCCCAAGTGAGCGCAACGGGCCGATACTATGCCGATCCGAAGCCAGGAGCCTCTTCCGGGTCTCCCACGCGGGTGCAGGGTCCCAAAGCTTTGGGCCGTCCCGGAGACTTTTAACAACAACAAAAAATCCCGTAATATGGTCTCTGCAGTCAGAGGGTGACCACCTCTGCGCCCTCTGCACCCTCTCCCCTAGCCCTACTGCCCACCGTGCGATCGTGCTATCCTACACGGTGCAATGTGCGGTGCGAGTGTGGAGTGTGAAGGCAGAGAGGAGCGCAGGCGGGGACAGGTACAGGGGCGGCCCTGCCTGCTGCCCTTGTGGAAGCTGCGCAGACTCTGCAGGGCCATGGAAGAAGAGTGGACAACCCTCCCAGACTGGCTGCCCTGCCCGCTTTCCCCCCTGGCGGCAGATAGAAGAAGTTCAGCCCGAGAGAGGGCTCTTCCCGCCCCAGCCAAGCCCTGGAGCACCCAAACCTCGCCCGTGCTGCAGCCCGGGGGCTCAGCGCCAGGGCAGCGCCAGGGCAGCGTCAAGGCTGGCTACTGTGAAGCGCGGGGAGAGGCCGGGGACACGCGACCCCGCGACCCCGCGACCCCGCGACCCCGCGACCCCGCGACCCCGCGACCCCGCGACCCCGCGACCCCGCGACCCCGCGACCCCGCGACCCCGCGACCCCGCGACCCCGCGACGAGCCTTTTCTGAATCCGCATGTGCTCTGAAGTCACACCCGGCCTGGCAGGGTGATGGCAGGCCGAGGTGTAGTGGCAGTGCTGGGTCGAAGCGCTTTGCAGAGGCTCTGGGAGTGTGGCGGGCAGGGGTGGGGCACAACCTCTGGCCGGGCCTCCCCCTCTCCCTCCCCCTTCACCAGAAGCAGCTCACCAGTGCCCAGGCCACTCTGGGAGACCGCATGTACTTGAG